TTCCTACAAATCATCCTGCTTGACCAATCACAAAGACTGTATCTGCTATCTGGTCGCGATTTAGAAAATCTATTTTTACGCACGAAAAAAATACACGAAACCCGTGTACGAATGCATTCACGGTCAGCACCAGTTGTTCGTAGGTTGTGGTCCACTCTAACAACTAACAACCTTGTATTTGTTTATTTACTAACAGCACCTTTCTTTAGGAGACGTAGTGTCAATTCCGCACAATTGCCAAGATACTCGAAATATCGAACAATGATGGTCGCGACGTGGTGAAACCGCTGCGAAAGATAACGGGAGGTCAACGGCAATGTATTTACGTGTTTTGACGGATTATGACATGGAGCCTTGGGATACGAAGAGAAAATTCATGTCTGATAAGAGTTTATGAGTGGGATGCTTGCAAATGACACAATCAACTGAATTGTTTGAAAACTGATGTACTCGTATTTTATTAATGATGACTTGGGTGATATTTGCGGAAATGTAGGTTACTATCTTAATGAAGTATATTTTGTAGTGCTTACAACCGCTATGAACTTATTATTACTTGTTTTTTTTCTTTCCTCATTCCACATTTGTTCATTTTGTATCACTATTTCTGCATTATTGTGTATAATGTAATATTACAAACTAGAACGTTGATATGGTAATAATGAAAGTATTCTCATAGCACACAATCAGTGAGAAAAAGTGTGTATTCGTCCAACTGAAATAGTGAATATTGACTAAAATTAAAGATCTTACAACAATGCAACTTAGGACATACTCGTAGAAGATGATCAGTCTGCAGTAAAATGCAAATTAGGGTTTTCTTGGTTTATAAGATATTTATTACTCACTTCGTCTCACTTTTCAAAACAGATGCTGTGGCAATAATAATAAGCAGGTACTGAGTGTATAATAAACATCTTAAACCGAGAAAACCCCCATTTGCATTTTATAATACTGCAGATCTACTGTTCTAAGCTGTATTGTTGTAAGATTTATAATTTTAGACAATATTCACTATTTCAGTTGCAGAACTACAGAAAAGACGTTTTCCTTAGACCCACTAAAATTTTTATTACTTTTAAGTTAAATGCGGTATTGTTAAGAGTAAACCAGAAGGTAAACATATCATAAATAAATTTAAAAACGCAAGGTGGCTAATAATAACCTATTATTAAATAAGGCTGAATTTTGTTATATAGTTGATACCAACAATATTTGAGACTCATTATAGAATAAGACGATTACCCCCCACGGTGGTTCATGGGGCTTGCGGTAGAGATGCCATAAACAAATTTGCATTTCTTAGGACAGGCACGTTTCAAAGGTTTGTAGGAAAAGATGGTCCGTAACAGAAATTTGTTTTTGGGCTTTCATAAAAAAAAATTAATTAATTTTAATATTCAGCTATATTTTGAGATTGTTTCTTTACAAATCTGCATTATCACTTTAATACTAAATTAAAAACCTACCACGAAAATTCCTGAATACGGCTCTTTTGTAAATCTTCAGGGTAGTACCACCAGCAGTGAAAAATTATTACCTACGGCCGACCGCAAGGCTGCTTAATCCTCAATAAAGCTTTGCATACGTCAATCTCAAATATTCCTAGTGACGACTATAATAGCTGGGTAAAACTCTATAGCTTGTTCCAAATCTGGTGGCGAACTGACGTTGTCAAAAATCACTGAATTTTGACACTAAACATATGTTTACTATTAAAAATAATATTGTTCATAGGCGTCGTATGAAATAATATTTCAAAACCACTGTTATTATTTAAAAAAATATAATAAGTAGGTACTCGTACATAAGATGAAGAATAATGAACAAATTATTAAATTGTTAACGCATGAAAAGAATTTTCAAAAATGATATTCCTAACAATTATCCATGTCTTTGAAATTTTTAAAGAAAAAAAGTACGCCCATGTATTTTTTTATCTTAAGCAAGTGGGCGCACTCCAAGTGTCTTTTCTGTCACTGTCAGTTCGCCACCAGATATGGAATAAGCTCTACCACTACTTTGGTTTTAAATACGGCCCTGTTTTGTTCTGGTGGGTGCAGTAACACTTGGAAAGGAACGTGCCATTTATGAAGGGTTACAAATTCAAGCCATTGTTGGGTTAATCCCTTATAATGTCTCATAAAATTTTTAGTAGGTCTTAGAAAAACGATTTTTCTATATACAGAGTGATTAATATTTCTAATCCCTTCACCAAAATGTATACAAAACAAGCCAGCAGAAATTATAAGTAATTATTTTTTTGAATAATCAGTGTCCCCGAAACTTATTTTTTTCTATAAATGTTATTCCAGCTTGCACAAAAATTATAAATTTATTAAAATTAACCTTTAAATGATCAGCAATAAAATAGAACATTTAACTAGCATCTGTATTAGGGTTAGTATTGCAAATTATTACTTGGTTTTCTTCAATTAATAGTGGGCATTTATGAACTTCTTAAGTTATTTTGTTGACAACATCCATTATACATCATAATATTCTGTTGGTGTATAAAGCAAGGCTACTTGCACCAAATGGTTCTATAATTGCTTGTCCTCAACTTCTTGATTGGTTGTTTCAATTTGAAACTTTCAAAGTATCACAAAAATAAAATAAAGTGACCTTCAGAAATCAGAAATTTTGGCAAACAGAATGCTATAATACTGTTAAAATTCATTTCAAACTTTATTTACTGAGTATAGCTGTCATTTAAGTATTTTATTGTTGTTTTTTTTTTTGTTTTTAATGTTTATTTAAAGAAATCATATAATTATTATTCATTGTTTTGTTAATAAACATTGTGTGTTAATAAACACACTACACAGTTAGATCAATAGATAGAGAGCATGATCGCAACAGCTCATGTGCGTTAATCGTTAATCCTTAAAGGGCATTGGTCGTATAGTTATTCACTTTTAAATAATCGCATGTCATGATAAAAAAAGTGGTTTGAAGACATGACCTAAAAGTTAAAATGTTGAAAAAACTATAGGAGACAATAGGTATGTAGAGGGCTGAGAAACCAATTAATGTAAGTCATAATTTTTCTCAAAATGATTTATGTGATTCAAAAGACGCTGTATGGTTAAATCTTTTAGTTGGCGATGCAAGTAAGGCACTATTAAAGTATTATCAATTCTCTTTCAAGAAAGATTTTGTTTTTCACATTTGCAAGCTTTTTTTATACAATTTTTTTAAATGCTTCATTATCTCATTTTTAACATGATTTGACTTGCACTGATTGGCTTCTGAAATTAAGTTAATCTTCCAATTCTACAAACAAATAAAAACTGATCAAAAACTGCCTTACAATGTCACAGAAATTATTATTTCCTGTTTCGTTTTAATTAAAACAACCAACAACAACCGTTAGATTTTATCTACAATCCATTTTTGTAAGACTACAATATTTTTGCCACGACTTTTTCAAACAAAATAAATTTGAGAAATATTAAATTTTAATGTCCTCAAGTCACAAATCAAGACAAAACCAATATTAAATCAAATTTTTCAAACAAAAGGCTTGAATTAACTCCTTTGTCTAAAATAAAGACAGCTATACAGGGTGTTTGTGGATTGCGAGCAAATATTTTAACCACTAAGAGAATTTGTTATGAAAAAAAGTAATTTTTTATAATAGTAAGTATTGACCCACTAACATTGACACTGATCTACCCTAATGTAGCGATATTTTTTTTGTCTTTACGCTGTTTACGTTCCAAAGTTTTTTCTTAAGAATGATTGTAAACATCGTATTAAGACAAAGGCGGGGACAGGTTTTTAGCCTCAATTTATTTTTAATTTTAACTCAGAAATAACGTGCTTTCGACAAAAGTTGGAATAACGAAAGTTGTTTCTTTTGACGAGTCCTATTAGTGGTTAAAATATTTGCTCTCAATCCTCAAACACCCTGTATGTATAACAAAATGGAAGTAGAAAAAACACTTCTGGTCTCACCCTTCTCACCTGAAACTGTTTTATGGTTACGACACAAAGGGTAAAGCTGCACAAAACTTGCTTACAAGTCAAAACAAGATTTTATGAGTCCAATCCCTGTCTAGAGAGGGTAAATATAAAAATAAGAGTTCAAACAGGGAAGACACATTCTTTCAGATACTATAAAAGAATTTTAACAAAATAAAAACATTCCGTAATGTTAATTCAAAAATCTCGTTCGTTTATTTCCTCGAATCGTAGCCAGAACGAAGAAAATGTCATGCAGAAGTTGAAAATATCCATTTTATAAATAGCTGGGGATGAGTGACTTGTATGGAATTGTTGAAATGAGTTTGCAAGGTTGAAAGTTTTGCAAAATTTCATTACATCAAAATACAAGGCTGTCCTTCCTTGTAAATACAAACTACGTAATAATGTTGAATAAAATTCTCTATTTTTACTTCCGTTTTCTTAGCCAAATTCCGTATGTTAAATGGCTGTCAGGTGGTCACAGACGTACTGTCAGACCGGATTGTCAAATTTTGACACTTGTCATGTCTATTGAGGTTAGAACGCATCAAATTCGGAACGACGAAATCTGCTTAGGTATTACTGTTTATGTTAATTATTCACATATGATTAATATAATTGAGTAATTAATTGCCTGCGTCGAGAATGAGAAATGGCGAAAACGATAAGGAGAGCAATATTCGCAACAGCAACGAAAATAGCAAGACGACGCATTTTACTTGAAAAATTTTTGGAAAATCGTGCAGAATGGCCCAGATAGGGGAGGTATAACAGGAGAATAATTTGACGTAAATGCGCAAGAATCCCTCACGCACCACCGTCCCCGAGGAATGAAATCAGCTCACCCCGTGTCACAATCAGCTGATTTCTTTGTTTGCACCGTGGACAGGAGTATTGAGGAGTGCACGGTCGATGACACCCGTGAAGGGGTGCTGCGAGCACGACAGCAGAGTCTCGCCAATGTTATCCGCCACGCGTCAAGAAAAATCCACTGCGTGACAAACCGTTTCAATTCCCTTGAAAGGACTTACCTTTGTAATGAACGCGTAAATTGTTCTGGGACAGTCCGATGTAGTTGTACTTTTCCTTGGGGCTCCAAGCGCGGGGCAACGGCGACTTTTCCTCGTTTACAGCCGGATATAGTCTTTTTAAACGATCCACCACGACCTTCTGCGTTTCTAATTGAGAATCCATCGCACTCCGACCATTACTCACGGCGGCCATTTCTAAACTCCCTTTCCCTTCTGTAGGGGAACAACAATGCGCATTCTCGGACAGCGCCACCGTCGAGCTTACCCGCTCAGCTGATAGATGTCACAATTATGGTTGCTACGCGCAACGCGAGTACGGTTGCCATAACAACGGAGACGCTGACTTACAGGGATGACTCTAAATTTACCGCTGTACTCTATATTTATACTCTTTTTCATGTTAGTGTGCATCAAGTAGGTTGTGGAAGTCCAAATGCATCTTTAATTTAAAGGCCGATTCACATAAAGAGTGATCCAGAACAAATCTAATCACATCAATGATGACAAAAATCTTTATGTTTACTGCCCCATGTTAATTACGTTGTTTATTTTAATTATTTTATGCTACCTGGGGTACACATTTATTTGGAAAAATAATTTTTAGGGAAGATTGAGTTTAGGATTATTTGAATTTTTGCATGGTTGCCACCTTAAAATGATCCCTTTCAACGACTACTTTGATGCACATTAATATGAAAAGTTGAAAACGAGTATAAAATGGTGTGAGCCTATGAGCAAATGGCACTGCTTGTCATTTTTGTGCATTTGTATGTACATGGAACTTGTTCATTTTATAGCAATTTACAACAAAACCACAATCACTTATTTACCTCTTTTATAACGTGTCGGTCTTGTCATATTTAAAAAGGCGTTGACAATCTTCATCATCGTTTTTGACATTTCTAAATGACCGTTTGAAAGTTTGTTTTGGCACTGGTTGATAATTATGACAATTAAAGCAAAGAAAACCGTATTTAAATGTGATTTTAAATTTGAATGTTTGTTTACTACGTACTAAAATAAGCTAATTTTTTGTCGAATAAATGAGAGAATATTTTTATCGATAAGCCTCATTAGCATTACTTTACTTTTTTGTATAGGTGTCCCAAAATCAAACCGTCATACGTCAATTATGTTAGAAAACGTCATTTGAGAAAAAAAGTTTGTCAAACTAAAATCAACGTAAAAAAGTATTTTTTTTTCTTAAAAGCAAACAAATTACAATTTAAAAATAATAATTAGAAGAATACAGAATGTTTCAAAACTATCGCTCCCTAGAGAAAAATATCCAATAAGATAAGATATCAGAAATTTGAAAAAAATGTTTAAAAAATCTATTTATTCAATCCTCTAGTTAAAATTGAATTTTATCTACTCTTTTCTTCATGTTAAATAATAATAATAATAAAATAAAATTTTATCGTCTAAATGATAAAAAATACATCCATTGTAGTATATCTGCGGTTGTTAGTTGCTAACAATCTTTGACCTTAAATTTCATTGTTTTTTACTTTGACATTTATAAATATCGACCAAATTGACTGCAAAATTAGTGAGGATTGAATAATTTTTTTATTGTACACGACGATAAAATTTTCATTACCTTTTCGACCATATTAGACTAAATTGCGCTCAAAGATATAATTCAATTTTATCGTCTTGTGTAATAAATAACTACATATTATAAAAAATTACAGAAGCTGTATCCTGAATTGTAATTATGTTTACGATTATTTGTGGCGTTTATTGGCAAAGTTTTTGTACCTTGACCATTGAATAAGTTAATGCCTTTACTGAATAATTATGTTCCTGGTAGAGCTTGTTCCAAATCTGGTGGCGAACTGACGTTGTCAAAAATGACTGAATTTTGACATTAAACATATGTTTACTATTTAAAAAAATATTGTTCATAGGCGTCGAATGAAATAATATTTCAAAACCACTGTTATTCTCTAAAAAAATATATTAAGTAGGTACTCATACATAAGATGAAGAATGATGAACAAATTATTAAATTGTTAACGCATGAAAAATGATATTCCTAACAATTCTTGTCTTCAAAATTTTTAGAGAAAAAAAAGCACGCCCATGTATTTTTTATCGTACCCAAGTGGGCGCACTCCAAGTGTCTTTTCTGTCACTGTCAGTTCGCCACCAATTATGGAATAAGCTCTATCTTATCTTACTTGTAATTTGTTTCTGGGGTGTGAATTCTGAAACACTCTGTATATTTATGTATTAAAGGAATAAACAAGTAAAAAAAAAGTCGCGGTCAATTCATAGTGGCCATTTAATTTGTTGCCAAGTTGGCAGCCCCTAGCCCGTCACCTCTAGTGTGTAGGTTTTGTCTATGTTGCCAGCAGAAATAACTAAATTGTGTCAACAATTGTGACAGGCGCAGTAGATTTTATATGTGAAGTTTTCTAACCGGACTTTTTTTCAGAATTGTCATTTTTGATAGGTATTTCGATAAAAAAAACAATTGGATGTTTAAAAACGCATTTACACAACTCAATTTTTACAAATTTACACAGAGAAGTGGTCACTATGAATTGACCGTGACTTTATTATACATACAGGCTGCGCCAGAACTCGCGCCCGAGAGAAAATTTTCAAGTAAGGTAAGATACCAGGAACAACTGTTTAAAAAATTCTATCTGTCAAAAAATTTTTACATTTATTTTTTGACATATGACATTTTTTATGTCTATTTAATAATACTGAGGATCTTGTATATGTTTTTTTTACAATTATTTAGTAAAGGTACAAACATTTTGCCAATGAAAGCCACAAATAACATTGAACAGAGTTACAATTTAGGACACAGCTCCCTTGTTTCCTCTTTTAATAGCCTATAGCAAAAAAACTTGTAAAATTATTTTTCCAACAGAAATAAGTAGAGTCAAAGTGCAAACTTTAAACCCTCATAACTTCAAAATTTTTATAGATATTTTTTTTTTAACATTTTTTCATGTTCCTGGTATCTTACCTTATATGGCATTTATATGGGCGCGAGTTCTGGTGCACTCTGTATTTTAATCCAGAGAATGTTGGTAATGTCAGAGGCCAAATTAATTTATAATAATATAAAAAAATAATACATTTGTCAAAATATTCAACTTTGTCAATTCATTCAACTGCAATTTTAAGACTAAAAATCGATATTTCATTTATTTTATTCCTGACGGAATAAAGTGCCAGATTATTAATTAAAAACAAAAATATAAAGCGTTGCTTTATTCTCTGCTGGTAGGGAAAATAATTAATCTATAATTTTTTCAAATGAATATTTGAATTGTTTTCATTCAAATAATTACACATTCCCCGCACTTGTGCTTGCGCAAAGCGCGGTTCTTGAAAGTTGACTGTGTTCAAAGCATGAAACGTGTTTATAACCTACAAATATAATTTTCACTTTTTACAGTAATTTTCTCAAATTTTCTACAATTAGATTTTAATTAATTGTGACTTTCAATGTATTTAATTTTGTGTATGTGAGAGATCTTATCAATACCATTTAATTTACTTGTGAATCGAGGTTATGTGCAAAAAATAAGTTCCGCGTTTTTTACCAAATTTAAGATATATTTTTGTGTGCAAATTCCATCATTTGAATGAGCTTGGATACTATAACAAAAATGCGGGAATTGAAATTGAAATCTGAAGACCCCAAACCAAATTGTACCCCATACGAAGATTCTGATATCTGCCGGAAGGATGAAATTGACACCTTATTCCAAAAATGTGAATCCCTTCTTGAGCCACCGATCGCAATAGATAATGAATACATTTTGCACATTGCGGGAACTTTGTACTATCAATTGTTCCTTATTTTCAATGTAGTGATTAATTCTAAAATTTCAGAGAAACAAATCCAAACGTGGCTATAAGCCTATCAAATAATACCTGTGAAGTCTACAATTTAAGCAACAATCAAGTAGATAAATTAGCAGTTTTGGCTGAACACACTGACGTAATTACCGAAATTAAGTTTAGTACTGAAAATAGTAACTTACTTTATTCAGGATCATGTGATGGAACTGTAAGGCTTTGGGATATTAGAGCACCAAAAAGAAGCTCTGTTCAATTTAAAGGTGAGTAGGGCTACTTTCAATCTGCCTCAAATGGCCTCTTTTTAATTAACAGACACTACTGTTATGGATGTAAAAAATAAATCGTTTAATTGTTTTGATATTTCACCAAATAATAAATTGCTAGCAGCAGGAACAAATTTGTTTGAAGGTGATTCTTTCATTTTATTTTGGGATGTTAGAAAAAATTCGCTCCTGGGGGGCTATTGGGTATCACATACTGATGATATAACACAGGTATTTCAAATTTCATTGATGTATCTACTTTTTAATTATTGATTATCACCAATTAGCTCAAATTTCACCCAGATGATTCAAACAAATTAATATCCGGATCAGTGGATGGCTTAATTAATTTATATGATCTTTCACAACGCTGTGAGGAGGATGCATTGCTAGATTCATTAAATACTGTGTCATCAATTGAAAAACTGAGTTGGTTGCGACAAGGAAGGACTGACATCATTAGTTGTGTAACTCACACAGCTGATGTGCAGTTTTGGAAAATAGAAGACTCCCAACCATATTATCATTTTCATAGACATGAAATTGCTAAAGAAATTCAAGTAAATAACTAAGAAATTTACAAGTCAAAATGCAAATAATAAATGTTTTTAGAGGAAATCTGAAGGACACATTTACGTTGTAGACGTACATGGTGGATTTAATAAAATGTTGGTATTGGCGGGATCTAATTCCGGTGATGGAGAATGTATTAGAGGATTATCGGTAGTTGGTAACACTGTAACTCCTGCTCTGGGATTCCCATCAAATAAACAGCGAGTTCGTTGCAGCTGGTCAAATCTGAATGTAAGTTGTCACAGTACTTTTGTCAGGTTCTGATTTTGAATTTTTAGTTAAATTTGCTGTTAACTGGTGGGGAAAAGGGAATTTTAAATCTATGGGATGTTACCACTGTGAAGTGTGAAAGAAAATGATTCGTTTACCACTCTGTCAATGTATTAAGGTAGGAAGATACTTCTTCTAAACGAAAAGAGTAAAAATAAATCGAGCTTTTTAAACATTTAATTTCTACCAATATCCCTTTTCTTACAGTTAAGAATATATAAATTAAATTATTCTATGCTACCTTTATAATGCTGAGATGACAGTGACAAAAGCCATTAAATTAAATGACACAATGTTATTAAAAAATCTTTCCAAAAAAATTAAACTAAAAATAATGGCAACACACAAATGTTGGTAACGAAACAAATGTTATTGTAAAACGAAAAACATTTTACAAATCCAAAAATCTAAAATTTGTATAAAGATCTAAATATAAAAATTCCTAAACTCTATAGAGATCTTCAACTAAACTTAATCAAAATACAAACTTTTTTAAATAGACATTCCAGTATATTCAACCAAAAAGGAAAAAAAAATGAGTGTCAGAATAAGTAAAAACGAACTAGAATTTTAGGTGCGACGATGCAAAAATAACTTATTTTGAGGCCAAAAACATGATTAACCTGAAAAGAAACAATGAAAAAATGTATTTATATTACGGAATACAATACCTGAAATTAATTGTTTTTGCTGCTAATAAACGATTACATTCAGCTGTATCTGGTAGGGGAAAATGTTCATAGGGAGTTTCAGTTTCTTGTTCTGTGAAGTCGAAATTGTAGACTCGGGGATTTATTTTAACGTCCCCAACGGGACCTCGTAGGACTATGTAACTTAAACTCAATGGGGTAGATGTTTTTGATTTCAGGATTAACTACAAAAAAAGGGTTATCATATTATTTACAATATACATATATTATATACAATATACACTCTAATTAATTTCAATTTCTAAATATTTTTGCTACGTTAACTCAATTATAAAATGTTATTAGTTGCAACAATGGCGGCGAAAAATTATTAAAACATTTCTGCAGTTGCACTTAAGTCGTCAAATGAGTTACACATTGAGGTCAGAATTATGATTATTCAAAACACAAACACATTTTATTTCAAAAATAACAATAAATTGATTTCTGAATAAAGTTTAGACAATTTGGTGAAATGAAATATTTTTTTACAAAACATGTAACATTTGAATAAAAAAAATCGTGGTAATTGCACATATTCAAGGTTAATGAAAATTAGCCATGCATTTTTTATATTTATCGCGAACATTTAAAGATTAATATGAAACACTGAACCATTCTTTTAATACACAAAAAAAAATCGTCATTTCTAACTTTCTATTCCTAGACATCAGGGAGTGGAATTAAATCCGATGGGAATACAGAGTGCGCCAGAACTCGCGCCCCAGAGAAAAATGGAAAACATGGAAAAAATGTTAAAAAAATTGTATCTATAAAAATTTCGAAATTATGAATGAGGGTTTAAAGTTTTCACACTGACTCTATTTATTTCCGTTGGAAAAATAATTTTCCAAGTTTTTTGCTATAGGCTATTAAAAGAGGAAACAAGAAAGCTGTATCCTAAATTGTAACTCTGTTCAATGTTATTTGTGGCTTTTATTGGCAAAATTTTTCTACCTTTACTAAATAATTGTAAAAAAACATATACAAGATCATCAGTATCATTAAATAGTCATAAAAAATGTCAAATGTCAAATTTTTTTGACAGAGAATTTTTTAAACAGTTTTCTCATGTTCCTGGTTTCTTACCTTACTTGAAAATTTTCTCTGGGGCACGAGTTCTGGCACACCCTGTATATTAATTACTATTTATTATATTTAATTAAGAGCTCACAATAATCCACTTTCCGATAAAATCAGCAGTATCCAAACAAATAAGTGAAATTAATAAAAATTAGTTTTCAGTACCTGAAAAGTCATATCTCTTTCTGAGCTTTGTGTGGGGTCCTTCTGATTATCACTAATTTTCGCTTTGACTACCCACTGATTATTGAAGGTCGCAAATCGCGATGATTCATAAAATAATCGATGGACAAAATCGTCGGTACGATATGGTTTCAACTGAATATCTACAATAATAATAAATGAATTCAATTATAAAAATTTCGCTCTTTGAATTTTACCGTTAAAGGTAATTTTATCGTAACCCAACAACTCAAATATTGTCTTGTAGAGTTTCCTTTCTTCAATCAACTGCTGGTCGAGTATCTCTAAAGCTTCCATAACTTCTGCCCCCGATTTGTGAGGATGTCCGCATTCTTTTTCATGTTGAGCCCTTTCGTGGACAGGTCCTCTCCATGGACACCCGATCCTGTGGTACTTGCAACCTGAAATTCTGCCACAGAAAAACACATGACTTGTTATCGTCCTCCGAATGTTGTTGTAGAAATAAACCTGTCCTCGCATTCCTCGTCTTCGTGCTTTTCCAAGGAATTCCTAGGGAACTGCTTGTTGCAGAACTGACATTCAGACGGTAGTTCCGAGACGGCGTTCTCAACAGCCAAATTTCTCGTGGCCGAAGTCTTGCTGATTTCCACGCGGCAAGTTGGACATGTCGACGTTTCATCACGCAAACGGGCATCGGCGAGGACGTGTGTGAAACATCCGGCACACATCAAGTGACCATTGCTGCACTGCAATACACGCACATAAAATATACTGTAATGACTTCGAAACGTCTCATCCTTTTAAAGTTTTTTGTGTGAAATTATTCGAAATATTTTGTTCCCACCCCACAGACATTAATTAAGCTTTGGAGACACTTACCAATCCTCTTCATATCCTGGAACTAACATAAATTTTATCAATAAGGCTGTATGTACTCAACGAATATACTCGCCACCGCTCTAACTCAAAATTTTGACCCTTTTCGCTACTTGACTTATCATTGAGTGAAAGCGGTGGTTGTGCCAGGGCCGGATCCAAAACTCCTCAAAAAATATTTTTTACAAAATTGTGAATATTCACTCACTGAAAATAATCGACAACTGTTCCAGAATTATTTACCACATTTAAAAACAAGCGAAAATTTTCTTAGAATGCAATTTATACTAAGGTGACAAATAATATGATAATAAAAAAATGTACTATTTGACACAACTTTTTTTTGTTTTTTTTAACTATTAATTAAAATTAATTTCAAAACCATAAAGAAATGTGATTGGTCAGTTGAATAAAAATTTGAAAGTCAAAGATTTTGGTGAGCAAAATAATTCTAGTTCTCTTTACCAAATACAAAGGTTATTACTTGTATACAGCGTCGACTTTAAACTGTTTTTCAATGGGATGTAGCAAATTTGAATAGTTAGGAATTCATAATTGCCCTCTTTTATATTTTTTATGCGACCTAATATTGTGGGTTTCATGGCAACACATTTAATTTTTTTCGTTAAAAATGCCAACAGATTTATGGACTACAAGGATTAGTAAGAATAACCTGAAGAAGGAATATAGGTTGTGAAAAAATATAACATAGGGCAATATATTAATTTTGTGCCATTTCATTCCACTAGATCGCAGGTCTCTGATAAGACTATTTTATGTTGTCTCGCATCTGGACAATACGGAATAATTTTGGAACACCTCATATTTTACTGCCAGTCAAAATTCTAGATCCGCCCCTGGTTGATGCTACTTTTTAGTTTACCATTACGTTACCTTTTTTGACCATTGCTCAAATAGCATTTATTGAACTTTTTTAAGTGGAGTCACCGCTTATGGTTAACTTTAACTTTTTCAAGTTAGATCGTATGGAAATATTTTTGTTTTTGACAAAGTATTAACTTAGGGTTAAATGTTAATCGAAAGTGGTGCCATTTCGTGACTTGTAAATATTACTAGTAACCAGTACCCAGCCTTGGTCGTCGCTACCTACCTCTCTCATTTCGTGGTTAAATTAAAATCGCTGGCGTTCTTTTCGAAATTAACAAAGAAATGGGACAGGATGGGGAAAATAAATACTATAGCTAAATATGAATAATGACTAAAATATAAATTTAATAGATTTATTTGTAACGTCGAAGCAAAAATCGTTGTTATAAAATAGAAGAACTCGTTAAAGTTATCAATTATTATTATCACATCCAAGAGTCTTATTTAAATATCAATATATCACAGCAGCTAAATTACAAAAAAATACGAATTTAATAGTACAGACTATTCTACATTGTAACAATGAAAAGTAGGTACAATAGTATTTAATTACATACTGAGAATGACGCAGACAAATATGTGGTAAAATAAAATAAAACAAAAAATAGAATTGATGAGATAGAAACTCATGGCTTGCCGCACAATTTGGTAAAAAATTGTGCGCAAAACCACGATAAAACATAATGGAGGTCGAGCGGAGACCCCGAGACTCGGCCCTTGAACGCGTTTAAATATAGCCGCAGTGTGTCCTGAAAATCAATACAGGAGCGCGATTTCGCAGCAGCGGAACGGGACAAAGACGTAGTGTTACGTAATCTAGGAAAATCTGCAAGAAGCAAAGGCACTTACCTGGTAAACTGCGGCTTTGGGCAGGTCGAGGCAAACTGCGCAGCAGAGAATTCCTCCCAGCCTCTCCTCGAGCCTGTACTTCTTTTCGTCCTGTATGGCTGCGGTTTTGCGACGTTTCGCCTCCGGCTCGAGACAATCTTCGGTGTTCTTCTCGGGTTCCATGGAGTCTGTGGTGGACGTCGTCGCTTCAGCTTCCGACATAGTCGACGAGTTCTTAGTTCAAACACACAACAGCTGACTTCCTGTCTACCTCTACACCTCGCACATAACCAGAAAACAGCTGACGTGACGCTTCGAGTTTGACATGAGCGCCCCACCACTAACATGCCCCAAGTCGGGACGCCATTGGTGGGTTGGGGGTGTGACGTAGGTGGAGTGGCGGGGATGACAATCAGCTGCTGGCTGCTGGTTGTGGACAACAAAGAATGGTGGGCCATGGTGAATCAGCTGATGGGTCTAGCCGTATATACCAAAACATTAGACGCGTTGGTTTATTTATTTATGGTAAAACGTACAATGTTTACGTTTTAATGACCAAGCGGTCGGCAAGATTAAAGCTGATTGTGTTTATCTCGGGTTATTATGTTGACGGAATAATTTAGGTTGATTGGATAAAAATCTGTTTTGATGTCGATAACAACTTAAATGTGTGCAAATTTTTCTAATGTATGCGTAATGACGAATAAATATGTATAACCTGATTTTTTATTTGAATATTGAGGAACTCTTTAACAATAAAATAAGTCGCATGTTTTTATCTTTTGACAACTCATGTATAGGGTGAGTCAAGTTTTAGGATCTGATACAAAACAACGTTTTATTACGTTTTATTTGATTCTTTATTAAGCAGTATTAAGAAGTACTCATTTTATTTTTTTATCAATAATCTACCTATACTTTTTTTAGCCGAAAACTTGAAACAAAAATCTAAAATGACTTTTTGAAACTTTTTTTATGTGTACAACTTTATGCAACTGATGCGCCAGAACTCGCGCCCCAGCGAAAAAATTCAAGTAAGATATCTTATCTGGTATCTTTACCAGGAACATGGAAAAATGTTTAAAAAATTCTCTGTCAAAAAATTTTGACATTTATTTTTTGACATTTGACATTTTTTTATGTCTATTTAATGATACTGATGATCTTGTATATGTTTTTTTATAATTATTTAGTAAAGGTACAAAAATTTTGCCAATAAAAGCTACAAACAACATTAAACAGAGTTACAATTTAGGATACAGCTTCTTTGTTTCCTCTTCGAATAGCCTGTAGCAAAAAAACTAGGAAAATTTCCAACAGAAACAAATTGAGTCAAAGTGCAACATTTCAACCCTCATAACTTCGAAATTTTTCTGGATAAAATTTGTTTAACATTTTTTCCATGTTCCTGGTATCTTACCTCATATGGCATTTTTCTCTGGGGCGCGAGTTTTGGCGCACCTGTATACTCCTTTTTTTATTTATTCGTTTTGTACTTTTTTATGAAGAACGCAAATTGTGGAAACCTTATCTGAATTTTTACTTCTTGGTTGTGCTGTATCTGTATGAAAGGAAATTATTTTCAAAAATACATAGTTTTTCTCATTTAATTTTTTGGAAAAATACAGTTTTTGAATACCATCATAAACAGATTTCTACTCTTGTAAATGCTACTGAGCTTTTTTCCAATTTAATGAGACTTTAAACATTTTCTGGGAAAATAAAACAGAAGGTTTCTATATACATATACAGGCTGCGCCAGAACTCGCGCCCTAGAGAAAAATGTCAAGTAAGATAAGATACCAGGAACATAAAAAAAATGTTTAAAAAATTCTATCATTTTTTCATGTCTATTTAATGATACTGATGATCTTGTATATGTTTTTTTACAATTATTTAGTAAAGGTACAAAAATTTTGCCAATAAAAGCCACAAATAACATTGAATAGAGTTACAATTTAGGATACTGTTTCCTTGTTTCCTCTTCTAATAGATTGTAGCAAAAAAATTTGGAAAATTATTTTTCCAACAGAAAGTGCTTTAAAGTGCAAAATTTAAACTCTCATAACTTCGAAATTTTTATAGATAAAATTCTTAGTTTAGGAGATTCCCTATTCGGACATCCAAAATGCAGCACCCTGTACATACATATTACATACCTATAGATATTTATTAAACAAGACGATAAACAATCTTTATCGTTGTGAATAATATTTCGTTTTATTTTGTACTCACCTACCAGAATTTTTTGAATATAAACAGTAGATAAAAATTACTTTATTTCACTAGACGATAAAAGACTGCTGCTACTGAAATTAGTTATAAAAGTACTCTTTAACATTGAGTACAAAATAAAGTAATAATTTATTCACATACCTAATATAATTATGACTTAAAAAAAGAATCAATTCTCGACTGTTTTAAATGCATTCGGTTTTTGGACGGAATATTTCTCCACCGTGTTAACAGTAAAATGTCACTTGCAGTGGCCTCAGGCTGTTGTTCTACGTATAATAATGCATTTTTTTTTTAGAATTGAAATGAGATTCGGAAATTAATTCTTATAAAAACCTAATTTTTATTACATTCGGATAATCGGGAGTTGAGTCGAGACTTGTTTCGGTTAAAACGGCGGATCTAAAATTTCCGTTCGTTTCGGATAATTCGGCATTTCGGAAATTCGAGATCCGGATAATCGGGAGTCTACTGTACACTTCTATTCACAAAAAAAGCGTACACGTATTGAGGACTATTGTAAATAGGATATATTAATTAATCGTTTCCAAGAAAACGTTTTACATACTGTACTGACATTTTCACATTTTGTATGTCAAATGTGTGAAAATTGCTTTCAATTGCTATTTACAATTGAATTATACCACGACATACAATACCATTAACAAGAGTGTGATCATTACTAATATGTTGGAAAATGAGTGGTCTAGGTGTAAAAGAACTGAAGCACTATTTTAAAGAAGTTCCAACCTCAACTACATAGAAAACGTCTGAGGCCGTATGGCAAAAGAAGTGTCTAATAAACTGAATGTCAGGCCTCCTACTGCAAACGAACTATGGAAAATTGTGGAAAATAAATATATGGAAAAGTTTATAGAAGGATTAAACTTATGCCCAGGCACTTGTTCACTCAATGCTCCGTAGACTAATTGAAGTGAACGCAAAAACCGGCGCGATGACCAAATATTAGAATGGTTTGCTATCTTTATTAAAACTGTTGTTGAGAATTGCCTTTTTTGTAAATTTGTGAATAAAAGTTTATGAATTGTGTTTGTAATAATCGATAATGGTTGCCTAATAAGGCAAACAATTTAAACACATTAAAATCTCCGAAAAATACAACGATAAAATCCTGCTATCAGCATGGTTTTAGTTCCAGGTTTCTAAGTAACAACGATTAAAAGATAAGTTTACAATATGACAATCCAGCCAAAATTGGGTTCACTACTTGTACGCTTTTTTTTGAATGGAAGTGTACATACATATTTAAAATTTTAGGATATGGGCAAATAAGTACGAAATTTTCATGTTTCTTGTGATCTTGAGAATAGAAGTATTTTTTTTTCTCTTTTAAACTGTTATAATAAGAACTTTTACTCCGAAAATTTCACTGTTTCACATTTATTCTTTTTTCGACTCTGTGGTGAATAAGAAATTTTTATGTAAAAATAGTTAAACATTAATGGCGGGTTTGTAGAAAATGAATTGAAGTGTAAATTTGGCTAAAGGAATTAAATTTTAGTTCCTTTTCTGTAAATCCGCCCTAAGATTATGGTGAAAACTCATAGTATTAGGTATTTACCGAGGTGGGGGGTGATTCATTAATTACCAAGGCGCGAAGCGCCGCGGTTTAGCAGTACCTACGCCGAGGTACGATGAAACAACGACCAACACCAAGGGTTATATACAATATTATTCACAATCATCCTCTGTAAAGGCCAGAAGGCCTATAAAAAATGTATCAAATTTTGAAAAACATGACATATCGATCTATGACTATTCAGGTTGGGAAGTGGTCGATTCCTTATCAAGTTTTCTCGTTGGGAAGAGGCGATTTCCCATTCTGAACCTTACATTTCATATCAATTGTTAAATGAAGTTGAAATGTCATTCTTTCCAACTTTTCACATGCAAAAGGTAACGTACTTTGATTACTACTTTATAATTGTTGTGAATAGTAGTTATTTATTGTAAGAGTGTGTTAGGTAGCTTTTTATCCACGCAAGAATGTTTAACCGCGAGAACGTCAGATCGAGCGGTTAATTTTCTTAAGTGGATAAAAAACAGCTTACCAAGTTTAACCGAAAGCACATTTGGCGTGACGTTTAAATGTCACTTTAATTTTTAATTAAGTTTGGAATAATTTGGGCCGGTGATTGTGGATAAAACGTTATATTGCACGCGGTGCACTGGTTACTAACAGTGGAATAAAGTTACTTTATTCCACTAGTGGATAAAGTGGTACTTTATACGGATCTAAAGTGTGGAATAAAGTCTCTTTATAGAGTGATTGTGGATAAAATGATTTTATTATTGTTATAAATAACGACTACTTATTTCTTTATTTAACAGTTGTGTTATTTTCCTTTATTTGTCATTGAGACTAATGTTTGACCACAAGATATAATCGGCAGATGTTTTACAGAATAGAACATTTGTTTGATATTTTGCCAAATTCCCTTCACAATAGACCAAAATACACACGGTAAGTACACAATTAGGCCACAACAAAATGTTTTCTCCGTTTATCGATCTGCACTGAAACAATAAAGAACTATTTTTAGTGAATAATGAGACATAAAAACTCAAAAATGCAGTACATATACAGTATGTTATTGAAATGCGTTAAGAAACTTTAAACGGTGATAGAAATCATCAAAACAAATTACTTTGCTATTTACCATTTTTTCGAAAAATCTTTCTAAACCCAGATAAAATTTTAATTAGTTTGAACGTAAATTCTAGTACCCTCCAATGTCTCCCAGCGTACATTAAAAGCGAAAGAAGGTAAAAACTTAGATAGCCAAGCAAAAACCAATTCTTTATTCGTAGTATGTGAGAGTGACATTCAAGTTACGCACCACACTTGATCAAGGGCACTAACCTTCAAATTAAATGTTCGAAATGACGCCCTCCGTTATCGATGTATGCTTGTGCCCTTCGAGCCATAGAAGCTTTAGTTCTCTCAGCATTATTTACACGAACAGTTAATTCTTCGACGGTGTTAACTGGAGTCTCATACAATCTGTTTTAAATGGTCCCATAGAAAAAAGTCACAAGGATTTAAGTCTGGTGAACGAGCTGGCCATAAAACTGGTCCATTACGCCCTATCCACCGATTTTCTAAATTTGAACTTGGCGACCGCGAAATCTCTCTAGCAGCATTCGATAAAGCTTCCCCGTAGATCAGCATCATGTCTGTTAACTCCGGATTAGTGTACTGCACCATTTTTGAAGATAATTACGGGAAATTCACTTGCCAATAAATTGTAAACACGGCCGCATGCAGGTGAAGGACGTGACTAAATTGTGTCAGTAAGTTTTTGCAAGACTATCTGCCTGGGTTTTTGCCGTATTTACTTTTTTTGCGTTAACCTTTTTCGTAAACGACTCGATGACACGGAAATACGGTGAAAATAAATGTAAGTATAAATTTGAGTTTTCGAAAAAATGGTAAATACAGTATGTTATTGAAATGCGTTAAGAAACTTTAAACGGTGATAGAACTCATCAAAACAAATTACTTCTATATTTACCATTTTTTCGAAAACTCAAATTTATACTAACATTTATTTTCACCGTATTCCGTGTCATCGAGTCGTTTATGGATGGCACGGTACGCAAAAAAAGTAAATACGGCAAAAACCCAGGCAGATAGTCTTGCAAAAACTTACTGACACAATTTAGTCACGTCCTTCACCTGCATGCGGCCGTGTTTACAATTTATTGGAAAGTGAATTTCCCGTAATTATCGTCAAAAAAGGTGCAGTACACTAATCCGGAGTTAACAGACATGGTGCTGATGTACGGGGAAGCTTTATCGAATGCTGCTGGAGAGATTTCGCGGTCGCCAAGTTCAAATTTAGAAAATCGGTGGATAGGGCGTAATGGACCAGTTTTATGGCCAGCTCGTTCACCGGACTTAAATCCTTGTGACTTTTTTCTATGGGACCATTTAAAACAGATTGTTGGTGAGAACTAAAGCTTCTATGGCTCAAAGGGCACATGCATACATCGATAACGGAGGGCGTCATTTCGAACATTTAATTTGAAGGTTAGTGCCCTTGATCAAGAGTGGTGCGTAACTTGAATGTCACTCTCACTTACTACGAATAAAGAATTGGTTTTTGCTTGGCTATCTAAGTTTTTATCTTCTTTCGCTTTTAATGTACGCTGGGAGACATTGGCGGGTACTAGAATTTACGTTCAAACGATGAGTTCTATCACCGTTTAAATTTTCTTAACGCATTTCAATAACATACTGTATAGGTACATACTTGTATACTTGCATTTTTAATTACGTAGGTAACTACGAAAACTATGTATTTAAAAGAAAAACTTTCGTTATCTTCATCATCTTCACTTTCCCTTTTTTTATCTTTTGGCGATTTTTATGAACATCATCGTCTACCTAATTCTTAAGGATAATTTTTGATTTCTCATTAACCCTATTTAAGTTATCAAGTTTTTGACTGACATTATTACATTTTCTTTTGTTTAAAATTTTATGTCATTTGGAACGGCAGAACGTCTGTCACTCCCATTATACTGCCTTTTTTTGGCATATTTTACTTTTCTATTTTACATTTGCTTTACTAAAATCCCCAAAAATGATGGAAGGAAGTAAGTTATATTTTAATAATTTGGCCATGTATAAAGAAAAAATCTGTAGTGAATCAGGTGGGGCAGGAGGAATATATCTGGGCTATGAGAACAAGTGCTTACAGAGAATCGGACTCAGATCTGTGGAAAGAACGGCGATCTTACAGCCAAATAGGAAAAAAATCTAAAACCGTAATTGATCTTTCTACAGACGATCGGCAGACGAAAGTCATGGCGTCTTTAGTTCCTGATGAGGTCATCTATAACGTTGATGACTACAGTCATCGGCAATACGATGCGTGTTTCCTCTTCGGAGACGTTTCCGGTAGACTTCAAACATTCAAATTTAACCCACACCTATCTGTTGTCGTTATCCTATATTAATATTTTTTAGGTTTTACCGAATTGTGTGAAAAATACACAAAAACTGGTGTTTCGGGCCCTTCTCGAATGACCCAAGTCCTCAATAAATACTTGGGCTCGATGGTCCAAGAAGTGTTATCCCACAACGGCGACGTTTTGAAATTTTCCGGTGACGCATTCCTTGCAATGTTCAAATCAAGTGAAAGCGACACCATGCGCGATGCTGTTCATGAAGCTCTAGACAGTGCTCTAGTCATTCAAAAAAATTATGGTTCATATTTAACGGATGTCGGTGTCGTGATTCGAGGTAATTTCCAAACCACGTCGATATTGTGCTCCTACTAATGGCAGATTAAAGTGAAACTGGCAATTTCGACTGGTCTCGTGACTTTTGCTCTAATTGGAGACTCCACGAACTCCCATTACGTGGTAGTCGGAAAACCGATTTGGGATGTTAAAGCTGCCGAAAGTATTAGCTCTGCTGGGGATATAGTGGTAGCCCCAGCAGCTTGGTATTACGTCAATACCAATGAATATGTTTTCAAAGAAATGCCCGATAATGTCCACATTAGATTGTTGGGGGTGGGTCCAAACTGGAGGAGTGTACAAAGAAATGTACGACAACAAAAGCCAAAAGATCTTGGCGATGATCTGAGTGTACGATCAGAAGCCTCTATCAGTAGCGATATTATAAACGATGTTACGCAAGAAGGGACAGCAGATGAGTTTTCTTGTACGTTCTAATTTTTTACGTAAACGCCAGATTAAGAATTGTGCTTTCTACAGTAAGACCAGCGGTGAATTTGGCTGTGAGACTTAAAATAAAAGAGTGTCTACGAAGATTCATCATTGCACCAGTCATGAAAAGTATCGACATGGATGAACCTTTTGAATACCTAACTGAAATGCGTCAAGCTGTTATTGTATTCATCAATGTTATTTCTTACAAACTCCAGACTGACGAAACAGTAGTATTAGCCGACCAAACTTTTAAAATTGTTTGCAGGGTGGTGGACAAGATGAAAGGTTGTGTAAACAAGGTTTCTCTCTTCGATAAAGATTTGATGTTTGTTGTTATTTTTGGCTTGCGTGGTCTTAAACACGAAATGGAGTGCCAAGTCGCACTAAGATGTGCGAGAGAGTGTTTCGAAGAGATTAATAAGCTTCAAGGAGTTTTGTCTACTTCTATTGGAGTTACCACAGGTAAAACAATCAACAGAACCAATTGTGTTCTAAATTGTTTTGAAGGCAAAACATATTGTGGAGTCTTCGGACATACCCTTCGACGCGAATATACGGTTATTAGTCTTATTGTAAACAAAGCAGCTCGATTGATGGTAGCGTACAAAAACAAAGTTACTTGTGATAGAGAAACGTTTCTGCACAGTAAACTTGAAGCTAGGCATTTTATTTTACAAGAACACAAGCCTTTGAAAGGAATATCTCATCCTGGGCCGGTTTATGAATTTCGAGAGACTGAGCTGTATTTCGTGATAATTTTTTTATCACAATAAAAAACTTTATTTTGTTTAGGGGCCATGATCAAATTCAACGAATAAATGCTTGCCCCCTTTTGGGTAGAGTCTCAAAGCTGAAACTTTACCAACACCTCCTGCAACAATGCACTCAATCTTCAACTGGAAACGAACAACAGTACAAAATGTTTCTGATAAGAGGAGAACCTCGTCAGGGGAAAACCCGACTTTTAGACGAGTTCGTGTATATAACACCGTCGCATATTCCCGTTCACAAGTTAACAATGGCGATGAAGGATAAGAAAGTACATAAATTCGAGGTTTTAAGCTCCTTTATTTAAAGATTTTTTCAAGATTCCTTATCAGGCCATAAGACTTGTCTTTAATGCACCTTTGCAACTAGCCCCTTGGGCATCAGTGAAAGAAAAAGAACAGAAACTTTTGGACGCACTGAGAAAAATACAAGTTCCTGATCTTTTATGCATATTGAATAACGTATTCGGTGTCAATTTCAAACACTCTGACTTGTACTTGTCACTAACAGAAAACGCAAAATTGGTAGCTTTGAAAAAAATGATCAAACAGCTATGTTATGCTGTATGTTTTTCTGATTAAAATTTTTTGATTAACTTTTGTTTCGTAGTGTTTCACAACACTTTGGGTACTTGCAATCGATGATTGTGAATTCATAGATGATGATTCTTGGGATCTTATGAACACTTTTTTTGAAGTTAAAACAGTTTTTATTGTTGCTACAATGGGTCTGTATAAGCTTGGTCATGAGACATTTCTTGATGATCCTCGTATCAAGATCGTACATCTTGCACCGATTGAAAGATGGTGTTTGGGAGCTTTGGCTTGTCAAATCTTAGATGTGTATGCCATATCTCCCGAATTGGAAAAGTAGAAACAGAATTTGAATTAATGGAAGTTTAATTTTTTGTTGTTTCTAGTGTTATTCAGACGAAAAGTAATGGCAACCCAGGTTGGATAGAGAGCTTTTTGACTACTTTAATACAAGACAACGCCTTGTATATATTAAAAGCTTCTCTGAAAGATATAAATGATCTTGGTCTAGTGTGTCCACCTCTTTATATGATGACAAGGTTATTAAAATTTCAAGTCACAAAATGTTTCGTAATAAAACATTCTTAGGTTGTCCAAAGACGAAACTATTAAATGGCAACATATAATGGAAGAAAGGAGACGTTCTATGGATTCGCTCACAGAAAGAGACGATTGGAAGCGATTTATCGACAGTTGCCGAGTACAAAATGGTTCATATTATTAAATAGTAATATTAGCTATGAAAATTTGTTAGGATAGTTACTTGAATGTCACAATAAGAGAACGAATGGAGGATTTGTCAAGAGGCGGCAAAGTTCCGATCTGTGTAATCACAGCAAATTTCCGTGTGGGAGAAGAAGAAGGCGAATTATCAATGGATGCTATGATATTAAAAACATTCGATTCGCTTAACTTTTTTGAACAACTTTTAGTTAAATGTAGTGCTATTTTGGGCAACCAGTTTTTGCGAAGCATGCTTTTGTATGTTATGTCAGCGCAAGATAAAAGAAAAGCGGCTTTAGGTATCATCTATTTTGTCCCAGAGAAAGAACTAGAACTTGCGTTGTAGCTATCCAGAGATTATTTGAAATTAAAGTCCTCACATGCGCTAAGGGTGACTTTCTGGAGGAAAGTGGCGTTTTCAAAGAGAGACTAGTAGACCCAACTGATGAAACCATTCTGAAATGTAGATGCAGAGGAATCAAAATTGACGGTGATCTGACACTTTACTATTTTCATCAAAAGAAATTCTAATTTCCAGAAACTTGTTCTGACCTCCCGAGATACGCTTCGTGTGGTTACTTGCAATTTCGGTCTTCACTGTTTCGCGACATTACTTACAACCTGTTGACAGATAATCAGAAGAAAGAGTTTCACTCTCGAGCTATCAGATTTCTGGAAAGAGAAACCCGAAAATGTAGATCTTGTGGTAGCGGATTTTTTGTCAGAATTCTAGGTACTAGACAAGATAAGGAGTTTCTAACCGCTCGAGATAGACAAAAAAGAACTTCTCTTTCGGGTTCTTGGGATACACTGAGTACAAGTCGGCGCAATTCCTTGCGTAGTGTATCCACTTACTCGGCCGGAAGCCAAAAAAGTCAAAGGAAACTCAAATATGATGAGAAATCAATCGCCTCTCATAGTACTATTTTCGGAGATTCTATGCCTGGCCGCGAAAAATCATTTAATGCAACTCTTGGAATTACGATAATTAAGAGGTTGAAACATAGCTATTCCTTGACGAGAGCGTTTTCTGCTGAAGATTTTACCGATTGCCAGTGCCAATTGATTTTAAGTACGACGTATGGCCAGTTGATTGAACACTGTATGGGCGCGAATGAATTAAATAAAGTCCTTGATGCGATGTTGGAGTATGCTTACATTAGCATAACTACTTATAACATTCCTCTAGCAATGAAAATTTTAATCGAGGCATTGGATGTATTAAGAGAAAAGGAAAAAATGAAATCAGAAAGCAAGTGGAAACTGTCACTAATTCGTGGCAAAGTGTATACTCTAATTGGGTACTCTCGTCTAGAACTTGGCAACTTTAGCGAAGCATTGAGTGTGCTTCACACAGCATTGTCTGAATATGGAATTAGGTTTCCAAAAGGCATGAGTAAGCAATTAAAAACTTGCATGAACGAATTTCGACAAATTTTCGGCTTTTATGTATTTCCACGCACCTTGATGAAACATTTAGATCATTGGGAAACAGTTTTTGCTAATAATCTAGCAGAATGTTTATCACATCTCTGTACCTTGTATAGGGTGGGCGAAAAATATAGGATAAAAATGTATCTTATTGTCATGTTGTAGATTAAAGGCGAATGGAACAACGCAGAGTTGGCCGCAAGTTGGGGTTTGATTAAATCGTTTGAATCCTTCAGTGACTTTCAAGTTATTTGCACAGCATGTGCTAATATGTTATATGTTGCCCACCACTTCCAAAAATGGAAATTATGCGTTGCGTTGGAAGTTCATTCGTTGCGTTTATGTCACTTGAAAAAGACTTCGGTAGAAGCTGAAGACCTTAAGTGTGTTGCGAAACTTTATGGGGTCATTTTTTGTTCGAGGTATTTTGAAACATTATTATATTAACTATCAAACTGTTTAAAAACAAATGTAGTGAGATATCTCAGCTGTAATAGTCAAATTTTCTTTCTTATATGCACATGAATAGGATGGTGGAATTTTCGAGTGATTTTAAATCTGTTTCTTAGAATGCTTCGATCTGACTTGGACAAGGCAATACATATCGGATATATAGTCTTGAGATTGTGTTCTTCAATTCGTGCTGTTAAGATAATTCTGCCATTGCTTCCGCTTCTGCTTTATGCTCTTTTGATTGGAAAACATTTCAGCAATGCGTATTCAATTCTTCAAGAGCTCGAATATTTTGCTGCAGAAGATTCTGACAATTCGGGTAAAAAATCATTGATTTTTTGAACGAAAGTTTACGTTATGGTTAAAGGCAAAGTTTGGTATTTCTCTTTATGTATTTGTCTACAACTCGAAACTGGATACACTGTGCTCCCTTATCACGTTTGTGAACGGTTTTACCAGATTGAAGGTGAGAACTGGATAACCATCCGAGATCCTGATGCCAGGAAAAGATTTTTCACTGTAATGTGGTTATGGTAATACAACCAAGTTTGCTTCTTGGGTTTTTATTTCTGTTTAATCAAGGTGCGTGCGACATGAGAACTGGGAAGCAGCATCTATATGGTGCATTAAGTCCAATGACTTTTCTGTTACCTTCGAAAGTGACACCTTAGCCAACAAAGTAACTGCGTTATACTTGCTGGAAGGTTTAATTTTGTTCTTGGTAACAAAATTGGATAAGAGAAATATCAAAGCTGTTACCAGAGCCGAGCATGAAATTGACCAATTAATTAAATCCATTAGTCAAGCAGCACAAAGAAATAAAGTCATTTTAGCTAGACTCTACCATTTGAAAGCGTACTACAAATATGTGAAAAGTAATGACGCAAAAGTGACCAAGTTGCTGTACAAGGCAAGGAAATACGCTGAAAAGTATGGAAATAAATTAGAAGCTTCTTGGATTGATCACAGTGAGAAAGTATGTAATTTATTATAAAAATGAAAACTTAATAAGTGTCATTAAATTTTAATAATAAGGATGTAGGTATTAAATAACATACTTTTAAGGCGTGGAGTAAAAGTTTGCCTCCTATATCCATCGACTTTTGGAGGGAGCATTGTGAAACAGAAAACTTTCTTGATTTCCAAGATATTGAGATCAGTGAAGGAAAGTTGGGATTTTTCACTCTGCCTACACCAGTGTACATTTAGCTGAAAATAAAAGACTTTGAATTGGACAAACGAATAAGTTTTTATTAAAATATGTATTTCCACACAAATTATAGTGAATAATTGAAAATAAAATTTTCCGATCCTGGAAATAATAACTGAGACTTAAAAGTATAAGACAAAAAAGGGAATTCAAATAATAAGATTTTTTTGAAATTGGAAAAATTTTAAGGGGTGATAATAGAGTTTAAAAGAAGCCAAAATTACTGAACTTGACTTCTTATCACAATATTTATGATTTCTGAGATATACCATTGGACAATTTGTGAACAAAATGACAAACCTAAACAAAGTTTCAGTTTGGTTACTTTGAGCATTGTATTCCAAAGTTGACAAAACAAATTAAATAATTCATTGAATTGAAAATATTTATGGTCGATTCAGCATTTAATTGCAATAGATTTTTATTTCGAAATTATTTTGATGTTTGGCAATTTTATTTTTAGACTCAGTTTAATTCTGAATTAAGTTTTAATCGCTTTCTGTAATCGGCCTTTATTAGGTTTTGCAGAATCTCTATATCATTTTTTAACAAACTTATCTTTGTTTAATTTAAAATTGATGTCTTAATTTCAGTAATAACAGAAAGTCAATCGACGTCTATGATCGACGTTTAAATTACCTATTTTTGACTTTTTGAGACAGAAAAATCAATCACAACTTATGCATAAAAGAATATTTTTTTCATTTTCCCCCCCACGAAAATGTAAATTTCTATTTTGATAAGGAAATCGAAAGCGAAAGTAAAACAAACATGCTAGGTGGTCGGTTTTTTTCCACAAAACGAGAAATAAATGGTTAAAATAATAATGCCTTTAGAATTTTTTTACGAAAAATTTGAGTATTTTATACCTGAAATAGTTTTTGAAATATTCGCTAGCAAATATTTACTTAGGTAGAGTATGTAAATATTCTCTAAAAAAAGTTATTACCTAATGTATTAACGTAAAAATGTTTGTAAAAGTTGTAAGCAGTGTGGCTGTGCAGTTTAAGGTCGGCCATCATAATAATTTAAAAAACCAATCACTTTAGATTTTTGAATTCATTCAAAAATTAATGCAATATTAATATGATTGGTCCGTTTGCTGTCGGCCATTATTATAATGTGAGTAACCATGGAGAAACCAATCACTTAAGACTTCAATTTCATTCAAAAATACCGAAATTGGTTAATTCATATTTGCATTCATTTGTTAGGATAATAGTGCGTTGGAGTAGGTATTTGCGCCTAATTACGTTTGGTTGTACTTGCCTGGGAAATAAAATTTTAAACCTCAAAACAGGAATAGGGATGTTAGTGTTTTAGCCATCCTGTGTGTCTGCAAACACAACATTAATTAGCAGTGAGAATATGGAAGTCAAAATTTTCTTCAAATCTGAACATTTTCAATCAAGAAGTGAAACATAACCTCACCTTCTAGAAGGAGGAATGAAAAGACTTTTGTACAAACTGCAGAAGCCTACAGCACAATTTACAATCTATGTACAACCAACATTAAGCTGCTACCACTTTTGCCGTAAACTTAGAACTTAGGCATCGTGATCCAAAGTAACTCAAAAAAATTGTTTGCGTGCGATCCAAAAAAAAGAAACAACCGTCTTGTAGGAAATTCTATAAGTTTCAATTTTGAACATAACAATTTTTTTCGTAAAACGCTCCGTTTTCGAAATATGAATGAGAAACCATAAAACGACACTTTCTTATTGTAACCCCCATTCGCCTCGCTCACCTCCAAAAACCGTTGACATTCAGTATGTTTACCTTTTAACTAGTCTAAACACATCCCTGAAGTCAAACATTTCCAAACCACGTATTCTACGATCCTTTGTAAGTATACATATATTTTTAAAAATTTTCGGAATGAAATCGAAATGAAAAAAAATGTAATGCACAAATAATGTTTGTGTATAAAAAAAAAGATATAAAAAAAAATATTTCACTAGACCAAAGCAAAGTATTGACATCATTATTAGGTATCGCTGAAGAGAATAAAATCAAAGTCAAAGGAACAAATAAAAATATTTACTAAAATTTTTGTATTGTTACTAATACAGGTTACTAAAAAAATGAAGATTAGTCCTTTTTAGAGTTCCTATATTTGAAGAGCTGGGACACTGAACGTCAAACCAAGCCAATTTTGTATTATGTGGATAAGGTATATACGTTCTCTCTTTTTTCATTAAAATTTTTCGTCGCAACTAATGTCAAGTTTGTTTCAAAAATTATTTTAAGGTTATAAATTTTGTCCCATTGACAATTTGAATAATTTTACGTCAGATTTAGTCAGGGACGTAGGAGATAAATAAACACTGAGATGTGGCCAGACAGGAAAAAACTATGTGAACAAAAATACACACTAAAGTAAAACTATTGCTGCATGCACAATTTAGAATGAGTAATAAAAACTTGATAGTGTCTCCAGAAAACCTGTTAAAACCTGAAACTTACAAAATTAGACCTGACCTGACCTGATAAAATACAATACTCCAAACAACCGAATAATAACTCCTTGATCTTGTTGTTAAAAGCTTCACCTTCGTTTTTGATAAATCTTACTTTTGGGACCCACCCTCCATTTATAGCGAGTTTTAAAGAGGTTCCACTTGTCTTACACTGTCTCGAGCATTGGGGCAAGGTGGTACAAAAAACTACTCAGTTTCTTTATGTATTAACACAATAGGACACAACAGAATTGGTCAGAATGACCGAGGACAGAGGTCAATTTTTATTTGACAAATTTATCTGACTTTATGTGAAATTTTACCAAAACGCCACTGATTTGTACCCCAATTTATTGTTATTATGCGTCAGCCGACGTATATAAATGAAAAATTAGAAAACTGACATTCCCAACTCTTTTAATAGGAGAAAATCAGCCGCCAATAGATGGAACTAAAACATCAATGTTTTCCCCATTTAATTAGTTTACAGTTGATGTGCCAGATGTCTCTTTTTCCTAATTTTGGCGCGTAGCTTAGACGACGGTGAGGCAACTTTTTGGCGGAATTTTGTGACAACTTAAAAGTTTTATTTAATCTGTCACCTAACGTTTTGTAGGAGTATTTTTTATTTAAAATAATGCCAAAAGTTGAAATCTTCATTTTAGAAATAATGCATCGAAATAGACCCTCCCACACAGTTTCTGCAATGAAGTGGGAAGGAAAAACACTAGCAAGTACTCACATTTACATTGACTTGTCAAACTGACAAAAATGGAAAACTGATATTGTCAAAATATATTTTCCCCATTTGGATAGTTCCAAGCCAGACACCAGAGGTCAGCTACTTTGCTGATTTTCTCCTATATAGGAACTCTAGTCCTTTTTACTAATAGTTTTTAGCGTCCTCTGCGTTGATTTACTGTCAATCAACGCAGACGACGGTTTTTAGTGACGGTGACGATCAAAATATTTTGAATGCGACTGTATCTATGACCACTGAGTTTTGTTAAAACACCTTTAATTATCTTTGTTCCTGACATTTTATAGAGTTTTTTATCCATTGTCAATTTTTGGCAATATTTTTTTACTTTGTAGAAATTTTCACATAAAAAATCAGTCAAGATGATGGAAGGATGTGAGTTTCTCGCGGCAGGCAAAGAATTTTCTCTAAAAGTCTCTTCTAGTGAATCAGTTGGGGCAGGAGGAATTTATCTGGGCAATGAGAACAAGTGGTCGTCGAGACTCTGATTTAGAAGTCCGTAAAGACGGTCGTTCATACCAATCAGGCTTACTTGGAAAAAAATCAAAGAATGTAGTGGACTCTATCGACGATCGCCAAACAAAAGTTATGGCGTCTCTTGTCCCCGACGAAGTAATTTACAATGTTGACGATTATAGACATCGGAAGTACGATGCTTGTTTCCTCTTTGGTGATGTTTCCGGTAATTAGTCGGCTATACTTTGCAAAATTTCACTTGATCTTTGAAGGCTTTACTGAACTGTGTGAAAAGTACACTAAAACTGGTGTTGCTGGTCCATCTAGGATGACTCAAGTGTTGAACAAATACTTGGGTTCCATGGTCCAGGAGGTCATGTCGCACAATGGCGACGTTTTGAAATTTTCCGGAGACGCTTTTCTTGCTATTTTTAAGACATCGGACACTGAAACTATGCGAGACGCCGTCCATGAGGCCTTGGACTGTGCTCTAGTCATTCAAAAAAATTACGGTTCATACATGACTGACGTCGGTGTTGCCATCCGTGGTAATTATGCTTAATTTTGCACAGTCGAATCATTAATTTTGGTGGTAGTGAAATTAGCTATTTCTGCCGGTTTGGTGACATTTGCTTTGATTGGTGATTCAACCAACTCCCATTATGTGGTTGTTGGTCAACCCATATGGGACGTTAAGGCTGCCGAAAGCATTAGCAGTGCTGGTGATATTGTCGTCGCACCAGCAGCCTGGTATTATGTCAATCCCAATGAATATCTTTCCGAAGAGATGCGTGACAACATCCATATGAGAATTGTAGGAGTTGGTCCAAATTGGCGAAGTGTTCAGAAAAATGTCCGCCAACAACCCGATGATGATCGGGCTGACGATATAATAAGTCAAGATGAAGATTCTACAGATACCGACGTTTTGAGTGAAATAACACAAGAAGGGGCACTGGACGAATTCTCTTGTATGTTTTTGTAATAAGTCATACATTAATTTATAATAAAAATGATCAGTGCGACCAGCAGTGAATCTAGCTGTCAGACTTCAAATCAAAGAAGCCTTAAGGCGCTTTATTATCGCTCCAGTGATGAAGAGTATTGATATGGACGAACCTTTCGAATATCTTACTGAAATGCGTCAAGCCGTTATAGTTTTCATCAACGTCATTTCTTACAAACTTGAAACTGAACAGACCGTTATTTTGGCTGATCGAACATACAAAACTGTTTGCAGGTTTACTTTCATTTCAACATATCACAAAATTTACAAATTCCTATAGCGTAGTCGATAAGATGAAAGGCTGTGTGAATAAAGTCTCGCTTTTCGATAAAGATTTAATGTTTGTTGTCATATTTGGCCTACGTGGTCTCAAACACGAGCTGGAATGCCAAGTTGCTTTGAGATGCGCTAGACAATGTCATGACGCAATCGATAAACTTCCTGGTGTTTTGTCAACTTCAATTGGTGTTACTACAGGTGTTTATTTTGAAAATTGTACAAAAGTTACAAAGTACTTACAGGTAAAACTTACTGTGGAGTCTTCGGCCACTCTCTTCGTCGAGAATATACAGTTATCAGTCTTATTGTGAATAAAGCAGCTCGCTTGATGGTTGCTTACCAAGGAAAAGTTACCTGTGATAGAGAAACGTTTCTTCATAGTAAACTAGAATCGAACCATTTCATTTTGCAACCACATAAGCACTTGAAAGGAATATCTCATCCTGGACCGGTTTACGAGTTTAGGGAAGTGGAAATGTAATATTCTCTTGTAAATTTTTTTGGTATAAAACTGCATTTTAGAGATCATGATAATGTTAATAAAGTCGATGCATGTCCCTTGTTGGGACGAGAACGCAAAATTAAGTTATTTAAACAATTGTTGGATAATTGTGTGAATGCGACCGATATTAAAGAACAACAATACAAAATGTTACTGATCTCGGGTGATGCCCGGCAAGGTAAAACGCGACTTTTAGATGAGCTTGTTTATATAACACCATCAAATATACCAGTTAGTAAAGTAGTACTGACAGAGTCAGACCAGCATGTAAGAACTCACAATTTTCCGTACAATCATACTCGATAACATTGTTTTCAAGATACCGTATCAATGTGTGAAGCTAATATTTGGCCCTCCACTGTCTATAACTAAAAGTAAAACGATACAGCAGAAAGAGCAGATACTACTGGATAAGCTGAAGAAGATACAAGTCCCTGAATTAATCTGTGTTTTGAATAGTGTTTTCGATGTTAATTTTAAAGTTTCAGATCTTTATATGTCACTAAATGAACAAGCGAGAAAAGTAGCATTACAAAAGATGATTAAACAATTGTGTTATTTCGTAAGATATCAACATATTAAGTCAATTGAGAACTACACCAACTTTATAGTGTTTTACGACTGTATGGTTGGTTGCGATAGACAATCTTGATTTTATGGATGTTGAGTCTTCCGATATCTTTGACCTCTTTTTTGATATTAGATTCATATTCATGGTGGCAACTATGGGGCGTGAGAGGTCAGTAAAAGAAGCAGTATCTCAAAAAATTGTTGAAGATCCCAGAGTGAAACACGTTCAACTTCTTCCTGTACAAAGATGGAATCTAGGAGCGCTTGCTTGTCAAATTTTGGGTGTTTACGCAATATCACCAGAACTAGAAAAGTAACTGTATTAAAGGAATGTTAAATTGTGAAATAAAGTCGATTTGTAGCGCGATACAGATCAGGAGTAACGGTAATCCTGGTTGGGTTGAAAGTTTTTTAATTAGTTTGATACAAGATGAAGGACTGTATATTTTGAAAGCCACTCTTAGAGAAATTAACGATCTCGGATTAGTTTGTCCCCCTTTGTATATGATGGCAAGGTTAATTCAACTTTTTGAGTTATAAAGCAATAGTTGGGATTATTTTGATATTATAGATTAACTAAAGATCAAACACGGAAATGGCAACATATTATGGAAGAAAGGCGACCGTCTGTAGATTCACTGAGTGCAGAGGAAGACAGTTGGAAAAGATACATCGACAGCTGTCGGGTAATTGAATTACGAAAAATTATAAGATGAATGGAAACAATCACGATAAATTTTGATTAGCGAATGGTTAGAATAAATTCCTCTAGGAAAGATAAGAAAAATATTGTTTTTCTCACTATTTCCAATGGAATTTTTATTGTAGTGTATTCTCTGATTTAAAATTGAATCCTTTACCTGATCATTTTTATTCATGTTCTGATTTTTTGGAAATATGTTAATTTGCCTGTCGTATTTAGGAAATTATAGTGATTTTTTTACTGTTAGGACAGTCATCTCAATGTTACTGTAAGGGAAGAAATGGAAGCGATTTCAAGGGGAGGTAAAGTCCCCATTTGTATAATTTCCCCAACCTTTCATGTTGCGGACGAAGAAATGGAGCTTTCTATGGATGCGATGATCCTAAAAACTTTCGATTCGCTTAATTTTTTCGAACAGCTGTTAGTCAAGTGTAGTGCAACTTTGGGCAATCAGTTTCTTAGGGATATGCTTTTGTATGTAATGTCGGCGACAGATAAACGAAAAGCAGCTCAAGGTTAATTTTTACTTGACTATACCAACTGTTGAAGAGTAAAATTGTAGCCGTTCAAAAACTTTTTGAAATTAGAGTCCTTTCATGCGCTAAAGGCGATTTTGTGGAAGGCGGAACAAAGGTTTTCAAAGAAAAATTGTTGAATCCCGATGACGATATGCGTTTGAAATGTGACTGTAGAGGTGTAAAAATTGATGGTATTGTACTTTCTCTGCTTGGTAAAGTTTTTTACGATAAATTTGTGTTTCAGACGAGTGCACAGATCTTCCCAAATACGCGTCGTGTGGTTATTTACAATTCCGGTCATCGCTGTTTCGTGATATAACTTATAACTTGTTAACTGATAACCAAAAGAAAGAATTTCATCAACGTGCTATCAGGTTTCTAGAGCGAGAAACTCGAAAGTGTACATCTTGTGGCGGTGGTTTTTTCCATAAAATTTTGGGCGCCTATCACGACAAGGTCAGGAAGAGCTTAGTGTCTTTTGGCAATAACATATAACTCTATTAGGACTTTATCAGAGCCAGAGATAAACAAAAGAAAAATTTTTCGGGTATAACTTCGTGGGAAGATGGTAGTCGTCGAGCATCAACTCACAGCATGTCTCAACGTTCTGGAAGCTTACACAGTCAAAGTTACCAAAGTTTTCATAGCCGAAGATCCCGATCACGGTTTGATTCGATAGCGGGGTCGATGGGGTCTATGCCTAGCCAAATTCTTGGGGAAGTGAGGGAGGAGAAATCCCAGGATGCGCTTTTTGGGTTTTCCATAATCAAAAAACTGAAAAACAGTTTTTCTTTGACGAAAGCCTTCTCATCGGAGGATTTTACAGATTGTCAGTGTAATCTGATTTTGAGCACTACTTATGCCCAGTTGATTGAGCACTGCAAGGGGGCGGGAGATTTGGGTAAGGTGATAGAGGCGATGCTGGAATATGCACAAGTTTGCATAATTGCTTCAAATCTTCCTCTTGCTATGTCTATTTTGGACGAATCCTTGGACGTATTGAGAGAGAAAGCAAAAGAACGATCTGTGAACATGTGGAAGTTGTCACTAGTCCGTGCTAAAATCTACAGTCTGATTGGTTATTCTCGATTAGAACTTGGACACTTGGACGAAGCCTTGTTGAGTTTCCATTTATCCTTAAACGAATACGGGATAACGTTTCCAAAAGGGCTAAACAAGCATTTGAAGCTGTATGCTCACAAAGTCAAACAGCTTTTTGGTTTTTATTTTTTTCCTAAATCTCTGACGAAAAATTTGGATCACTGGGAAACTATCTTTGCTAATAATCTTTCGGAGTGTTTGTCGCATCTCTGCACTCTATTTATGGTTTTCAAATGAAAAATTAAGTACTTGTAGGTATTCACATTTTAATCTTTAGATTAAAGAGCAGTGGAAGAATGCCGAAATGGCTGCAGCTTGGAGTTTGACCAAATCCTTAGAATCTTTCAGCGATTTCCGCGTGATTTGTACGGCTTGTGCAAATATGATATACGTTGCTCAATATTTTCATAAATGGAACTTATGTGTTGCTTTAGAAGTACACGCTTTGAGATTTTGCCATTTGAAAAGAGCTTCAATCGAAGCTGAAGATATCAAGTGCGTGTGCAAACTGTATTGTGTGATCTTCACTTCAAGGTAAAAAAATAATTTAATGTTTAAGCAAGAGTAAGTGGGTAACGCTCAGAAAGTATTGTCATCCGTGGATGAATTCAAAATTTTAAGGCAAATAAAAAAATATACAGGTTGTCCCAGTGAGTTGAAAAAGTCCATTAGTGACCTTTAAATAGTCAAATTGAAAAAATATATACAGGGTGCCATATAAAGTAAGATTCCAGGAACATGGAAAAAATGTTAAAAAAATTTTATCTATAAAAATTTCGAAGTTATGAGGGTTTAAAGTTTGCACTTTGACTCTAATTATTTCTGTTGGAAAAATAATTTTCCAAGTTTTTTTGCTATAGGCTATTAAAAGAGGAAACGAGGAAGCTGTATCCCAAATTGTAACTCTGTTCAATGTTATTTGTGGCTTTTATTGGCAAAATTTTTGTTCCTTTACTAAATAATTGTAAAAAAAAAACATATACAAGATCATCAGTATCCTTAAATAGATATAAAAAAATGTCAAATGTGAAAAAATAAATGTTAAAATTTTTTGACAGATAGAATTTTTTAAACATTTTTTCATGTTCCTGGTATCTTACCTTACTTTTCTCTGAGGCGCGAGTTCTGGCGCCCTGTATATAGGACATTGATAGATATACTCCTTTTCATATTAATGTGCATCAAGTAGGTTGTAGAAGTCTAAATGAATCTTTAATTTAAAGTCCGATTTACACAAAAAGAGTCATTAATGTCATTCAAAACAAATTTAATCACATCAATAATGAAAAAAATCTTTATGTTTGCTATCCTATGTTGATTACGTTGTTAATTTTAACTATTTTTTGCTATATGGGGTACACATTTATTTGAAAAAAAATATTTTTAGGGAAGATTGAGTTTAGGATTGTTTGAATTTTCGCATGGTTGCCACCTTAAATGATTCAACGACTACTTCGATGCACATTAATATGAAAACGAGTATACTAATCTAGTCCATTGCCTAAATTTATTTTCAACTATACAGCGTGTCTCAAAAATAAGTTAAAAAACAATCTTGTGTTTTTTAAATGAAACACCATATTTTTCTTAGCGTTTTTGGATGTAGATTTTTAACAATTTTTTTAAGCTAAACTTTTATTGGTCGATTTTGCTTAGTTTTGAAAATAAGACGTTATAACATGCACTTTTTAAAAATTTATTACACAAAAACTAAGATATCTAGAAATATTTTACCTACTACTCAAAGAAAAAGGTACAAGCTATAAGGTTGTAACATTTTTTTAGTGCGTTGCATTTGCAAAGATAAAAAAATGAAGGCGTTTGTTGAAAGTACAATAACTTTAAAAATTAAAATGGAACACCCTATTTATTGTTTTTGCATTTAGAAGATTATTAAATTGCCTTTCTAAAATTAAAATTTACTTTTAGGTGTTTATAATCAATAACTAAAAAGATATTTAACGTAATACATTAAAAAAAATAATTACTATTGTTTCAGTAGCCAAAAAGTGCACAGTTGCACAAGAGATGGAAGAAATATCACTTAATAATCACATTTGTGTTAAACTGAATCAATTATTCTTTATTTTTACAACAAAATAATTCGAATTTCAGTATTTATAACGACTTTTACAATCTTTGGATAAATCAAGGGATAAGTGATTGGTGGTGGAATTACTATGGTTGCCATAGTATCAACAATGCTCAAATATTGCTACAATTAATATTGAATGTTAAATATCTTTTCATTTATCAGTTCTAGATATTAAAAGTTTATTTTTTTGATAGACAATTTATCAATCTATTAGATGCAAAAATAAAAAATATTGTTTTATTTAAATTTTTTAAGTTATTTAACTTTTAACAAACTTCTTAATTTATTAATCTTTACAAATGCAAAACACTAAAAATTGCTACAGCTTTAAATTCTGCACTTTCTTATTTGCAAAATTTGTTCTAGCTGTCTTAGTTTTTGTGTAATAAATTTTTAAAAAGTGCATGTTTTCTTGAAAAAAAAACGTCTTATTTCTCAAACTAAGCGAAATCGACTAATCAAAGTTTAGCGTAAAAACATTGTTTTAAAAGGCTACATCCAAAAATGCAAAGAAACATATGGTGTTTCATTTAAAAAAACATAAGTTTGCATCGTAACTTATTTTTGGGACATGCTATATGGTTAAAAATAATTTTTGGTGATGCACTAGATTAGTATCTATCAATGTCCTACACATTTTTTCTATTTTACCATTAAAAGGTTACTAATAGACTTATTCAACTCGCTGGGACAGCCTGTATGTTGTCATTTGACAATTATAGTACAACACACGTAATGTGTATTGTGAAATAAGCCCAAAAGAACCATTTTTTTATAAGCTTTGCGCTTAAATTAAATAATTTTTATTTATTGTTTGTTAAGAGTTTTTTTGGCAAATTTGGAAAAAGCCATCCATTTGGGTTACATCGTCCTGAGATTGTGTTCTTCAGTTCGCGCCGTCAGAGTGATTCTTCCCTTGCTTCCAACTTTGATTCAGTGCCTTATTATGGGAAAACACTTTGTTAATGCGTTTTCTGTTCTTCAAGAGCTTAATTATTTTGCCGAGGACGATACAGATAACTCAGGTTCAGCAATAATGCTTACAAATAAGTGTTTTCTATTATTTTAGTAGGAAAAATATGGTATTACGCCATTTGTATTGGTTTACAACTTGAAACGGGGTACACATTGGTTCCATACCACGTATGTGAACATTTCTATCAACTTGAAGGTGAAAACTGGGTGACTGTTAGAGACTCGGATGCGAGAAGACGATTCTTTACCGTAATGTGGTTGTGGTAAGTCGAAATTTGTGTAAAACTTTGGCAAGTATCAGGATTTGGAAGGTGCATTAGAAATGAAAAGTGGGAAGCTGCATCTATTTGGTGTCTCAAAATTCCTGATTTTATGGTGTTCTCTGAAAGAGATTCACTGGCGAATAAAATAACGGCATTGTATTTGTTGGAAGGGTTGTTGCTGTATTTTGTGAATAAATTAGATAGACGCAATATTAAAGCGATTGTCAGCACGGAAAATGAGATAAAGGCGTTGTTGAGAATTGTTGAGAAGTTTGCCAAAACGGTGAAGATTCTCATACCGAGGTGGGGGAACGGACCAATATTAACAAATTAATGAGAAATTGTATTTTTAAAGGTTCTGTCATCTGAAAGCTTATTTCAAGTATATCAAGAAGAATGATTCTAATGTCGTTGATATGTTAACCAAAGCGAGTAATTACGCTCTCAAATATACAAATTCTTTAGAAGAAGGATGGATTGAACATTCCGTAAAGGTAAGGGCATGCAAATAAACATTAAATCAAATGAATCAATGAATTAGGCTTGGAATAAGACACTGCAAGCTAATGCTATTGATTTTTGGAAAGAACATTCAGAAGCCGATAATGTGCTTGATTTTCAAGAAATAGAAATTTCTGGTGAAACCTTAGGATATTTCACATTACCGACTCCACTGTTCGAATAAAAATTTGAAGTGTTTTTTTTTAATACTAAAATATTGTTGGATTAATGTATACATAAATCCATATCACGTCTTGTTTTTTCACTTATATTTATTTTAATAAGGAATTAACATTTTTTCAATACTAGAAACTGAATTTATTAAACTGAGGCTTTTTTTAATTGCGCACTTTTTTATTTACGTATTACAGTTGAAGACAAAATACTTTGGTCGTCAATGTCACTTGAGTGACATTAAATTGTAAAGCATGCTTTAGGACTGTTAACCTTATTTTTAGCTACTGTCAATCATAGTTGACAAGTTGCACATATTTTTGATAGAAAGATATAATAGCTGTCATTAATTTGAAATAGTCATTAAAAAAAATTCATTAAAGCTTGAATTACATTAAAGTGTCAGAAATGTGACGACCAAAGTATTTTGTCTCCAACTGTACACATTGTCTGTTTCATTACGTATTGGGTGTTTGTACATTCAAAATGATTATAAATTATAATGATTGCGTAGATATTTTAAGAAACCAAATTAACTCAACTTATTTAAGGATTCTGAAATATAAGGGATGCGTCACTAAACTCGTCGAGAAAGTCATTTTATAGAAATGTTTTTTCAATTCCAAATTTTTATTATAAAGATGTTAAAGTGGGTGTTGGAGAAAATATAGTATATTCCTCTTAATGAAAGACAAATTAACTAAATTGTTTTGGTTACTAAACGTTCTTCTAATGAATAAACACTGTCTAATTAGTAATCAATTGCATAGTATAAGTAAATTTAGAAATCTTCAATAAAACAACGTTAATATTTTTGAACAAAAATTGCGGTTATTAAATAAAAAGAGTTCATGATCAGTAATAATAATTGTAATTGTGAAATTTGAATGTAAAAGTTTTAATTTCAAACGTTATTAAACTGTTGCTGTGGGCTTATCAGCGTCCCATTGAGCGACTGCTGCATTAGACCAGATATATTGCCCTTTCAAATTTTCTGCTTCCAAGGCCAAAAACAGCGGCGCTCGAGCCCCTTGTTCAATGGTCCATGGGCCCTTGTGACTAGTCATATCAGTATCAACATACCCTGGATGAACAGAATTCACAGAGATGTTCCTGTTGGGTGTCTCTTTATCAAATTCTCTTTGTTGAATTCTTGTGAGCGCACTCACGCCGACTTTAGAAACTACATAGGCAGAGGTGCCCCAGCCAGCTTCCTGATGTTTATTAGCTTTAGCATCCCTAGAAAAAAATTAGTTTGGGAATTATTATTATACTATAAAACTTACTGAACAAATTGTTCCATCAATTTATTTAGTTGTGGTATAGTCAGGTTTGGATCACTGAATTTTGCCCTCAAGTTAGGTGAGGGTATTCTTGATAGGTGCCCTGCTGAGCTTGACAAATTAACAACTCTGGCATTTTGTCTCAAGATGGGAAACAAAGTTTCACACACTCTTAATAAAGAGAAATAATTAACTGCAACTGTAGTTTCTGCTTGTTCACTAAATGGGTCGGGGGCATCGTTCTAAAAAAGCAGACGCAATGTAACTTTAAAAATGCAAGCACCAAAAAGGTACCTTAAATGCAATAGCAGCATTATTCACTACAAGGTCGAGACCCCCATGTTTTTCTACCAAATGATTTTTAAGTTTGGTGATGCTGTTTTGGTCGTTAATATCAAGTTGGTGAAATAAGGGGTTGAATCCAAGTTCTTTCAGTTTGCCCACAGCAGCCTCTCCTCTACCAACATCTCTTGCAGTTAGGTAAACTACACCTTGAAACTTCTCACAAAGGCCTTTTACAATTGCATATCCGATGCCTTTGTTGCCACCAGTTACCTAAAATCAAGTTTTTTGAATAACTCAAAAATTAACTCACGAAACCTACCAGAGCAACTTTTTGCACTGACATTTTCAACTATTTTGTTGCGAATAATGATTTTCAGATTTTTAGATGACTTCTGAACAAGTGATGAGTAAGCACAATTTTTCAGATTAAAAACAAGAAAATAGTTTTGATAGGTTATGTAAAATTAAACGTCAAATGTCGACCTTGATGTGATCTCCCCTCACTGCCAGCATCCAGTTAAATGACAGTGGCGTAGGTACTGGAGGGGAAGTAGAAATAGCTGAAGAAGTCGTTTTTCTATTTTTTATTTTTCTGGCTAATAGTATATGTGTTCTTACAGTAATTTTGGATGTAATGACATTTTTTTCTAATAATTATTATATTACATTTTTATTCTGTACAGAGTCAGTGACAGGAGAGTTACTTTAGAAACCAAAAATACCTTTAGCATATGTAACTGGATATAATATTTTATTTAAATTAATTCAGTAATCAAAGTGAGCTGGATGAAAATGAGTGAAGTCGTCAAAATGACAAGTAATTGTCTACTGTTTCAAGAACTCTAATTATGTTTCAGGACCATAAGCATTCGATTTGGACACTCCTCCAAGTACAGAGCTGCTGCCACAGGAGCATTTTTCTTTCATTCTCTATGGATTAAGAGCATGCCCGCTTTTTCGTTATTTGTGTAATAATACATTGTATTAACGAAAATTGACTGTTACTTTTTAAATGTCAAATTGAATATGCAAAGTATTCTTGGATTCAATTTTATAATTTTTGCTGCCCAAATTATTTCAGAAGTAACTCTCCTGTGACTATTCCTATATAAAAATTTTAATGGGCATTAGCTTTGAATCTAACCTACAAAAATTTATTTACAAAGTAGGTAGATTTGATTTTAATGTAAATTACAAATGAATTTTCTTTAATTAAGATCGCAAATCTGTTGTTTGCAAAAGAAAACAGCATGGACAAGTATATACATTTATTGAGTTCCACGTATATTATCAAAAAATAATAAATACAAAATTTTAACAAAATGTTTTTCATTAATTTAAAATTGATCATACACTGTGTCAATTTTAAAACTTGTAATTGGCATTTCTCTCAACTGAAAAAGTTATTAATAATCACTCAAAACCGTTTTGGTGGTTCCTAGGGGGAATTAAAATGACATGATAAGTGACACACCTCCACCCACCCTTGAATATAGTAAAAAAAATTAAAATTTAACGTCTTCGTTTTTGAATAATTGGAAAAATAACTTTACCAAATAGGCTGTTGTATGACATTTTTGAAAAGCGCTTGTTATGGGCTTTCCAACGATGTATCGCAAGTAGGGTCGTGCCATTTAAAATTTTCAACTTAAGGTGGCTGTGGCTTGAAGGGTGGGTGGAGGAGCGTCACTTACCATGCCATTTTGATTCCCCCTAAAAACTACCAAACAGTTTTGAGTGATTCTCAATAACTTTTTTAGTTCTAGAGATATTGGCGATTGCAAGTTTTAAAATTGACTCCCTGTATATTAGCAACAGTCATTCAAATTATCCATTCACTCCGCTTACATTAAATTATTTACATAAACAAATTAACGTGATTTCTAAAAGCTGTCGTCATCTTTTGACTTGACACATCTTCCTTTATAACAGATTTCCGTTTCATGCGAAACCTCTGTAGAAGTGGACGTCTTAACATCTTTTTCTTCCCACGGCTCAATATCGTAATTTTTTATACTAGCTTGCGTAGTTGTAGTTGTCGCCGTTGGCGTTGTAGTTTCTGGAACAAAAGTAGTTTCCATCTCATGTTTGCTGATTTCTTGGGTAGTTATATCCTCTGTTATTTCTTCAGGAAATGTTGGAGACGCGATTGTTGTTGTAATCTCTTCTTTTTGAAAACTTATCTTAGTCTTGCTTCCTGGCAACTGGCTAGCTTTACTCGCTAACCCCAAAAAGTTATACAATGTATCGAAAATACTACTTTCTGTGGTAGTAGTAGTAATAGTTGAGGGTTTAGTTTCTGGTGTTTTGGTAGTGGTACTTGATTTTGTTATTTCTGCAACCTTATCGTTAACTTTTTCAACACTTTCGAATGCGTTTATAACAGAAAAGTAGTTCTGGGATTCAGCAGTGTCGAAGGAATCCACTGGTCGGTGTTTCACCAATTTCCAAACTCCTCTTCTTCTACCAATTTTTCGTCTTTTCAGTGTTGTAGTATCAATCGGTTCAGTTGTGGTGATTTGTTCAGTTTGAGCAGTTTCGGTTTCAGTTTCAGTTTCACTATCTTCATATGGAAGTGTCGTTTGTTCGTCAGAATTTGTAACAAACATTTGCTTATCTTCAATTTCTAGTTCATTGACTTTTGGAAAGTTTGTTGCTTCGACCCATTGTGTATCTGTACTTTTTATGATTTGAGGACTGTATAGAGATGAGTGAGGGACTTGATCTTCTTCTTCCGCCGGATCAATTGTAATTTGGAAGGAAGAAGGTTTCTCTGTTGTTAATTCTCTACTTTTAAGGTAGGACGCAGGATAATTTCCCCCTTCTACATCATGATCATCAGCTTTAACTGTCATTTGTTCAGGCAGTTTAAAATGCGCTTTGCCGCGACCTCGTGTACGCACAACATTACTGCTTCTTCTAGTCACCTGATCGTTAAATCTGTGAGACTTGACTTCGTTGTAGGATTGTTGTTGTTGAGATGTTGCTTTTCTACTCGGTATCCGAATTCGGACTCTACCTCGACTTTTCGGAGCTTCGGTTGAGAGTTCTTGAGATTCTGTAGTTGTGTATTTTGGTCTAATTTGGCCGACGAATTGCACAGAAGCCGGCGAAGTAGAGTCATAATCTTGAGTTTGCTTAGTATGTGAGTCATCTTCTACTTGGATTATTGTTCTAGGAATTTCTTGGTATGAAGCCGAATAAAGCTGAAGCGGTTGTTGTGTTACAACCGGTGGAGCTCTTTCATAGTTTGGTGTCCGAATGAATCCGTATGCTTCGTCTTGTTCTTCTTGTTTTTGCAGTTTTTCTGTTGTGGTTGTTGTTGGTCTGGGTGTTGTTGAACTAAATTGTGACCTGATTCGAGTTCGTCCCCTCGTCCGAACTGGTGTTCTTTGCGTTGCTTCTTCATTTTTATTGTTGTAGATGACTCCACCGGATTGAATATTACTATTGACTCGAATAAACCGGTCTTTATGTGAGGGTTCTTGACTCTTATCGGTTACTGGATGAGTAACTTTAACATCGACAACTGGTTTTGATGTAGTACTGACTTCTTCAAATATTTTTTCAGTTGGTTGTGTCTGTGATGGCAAACTGTACACTTGGTGATAATCTTTGTAAAGTTTTTCTTCGGCAATTTCTGGTTTGGCAGTAATAACTTGTTGATTTTCGACAATATGGTCGTACTGCATGTACGATTGTGGATCGCCTGAAGATGCTTGGAATCCACCTTCTAGAGGTGGTTGTTTGAAACCAGTTTCTGTTGTTTGAAGAACTCTTTCAGTTGATGGCTGTTCCTTTTGTACTGGACGTCCTCTAGTTCTAAATCTTTGTCTTTGGCTAGTACCTCTTTTAGTGGGTTCATATTCTGAGGTTTCTGTCGTAGTACGCACATACTGACGCTCGGTTGTCGGTCTGGTGTAGTTAGGACGTCTTCGACTTGCTGTTCGTCTAGGAGCTGGGGTTGTACTAAAGCGACTGTGTGCTCGTTGTCGACCTCGATTACGTCTGATGGTAGTTGTTTCAATCCTCGGAGCTTCAGTTGTTGTTACACGTTCTTCTTCAATTGAGGGATACTGAATTGTTGTCAGTTTTTCAGTGGTAGGAACCAAAAGATTTGGTACCAAAAGAGGTCGTACTGCTTGATCTTGCAAATTATTGATTAAACCAGGAAGGTATGGGTTATGTGGAGGGTATTGTTCTTGTTCTTGCGGATTTTGACTGTTACTGTACACCACTGGTTGGGGTTCTTGTTGTGGTGCAACTGACCGGTGTTCTACATCTGGTCTGCTGATGTGTAAGATTTGTTGGTCTAACGTTTCTTGATTTAGTACGTGTTGTTTAACTGGGACTTGAGTTTGAGTAAACACGGGTTGCTCAGGTTCCAGTTTGTAAACTTTTGCCGGAATCGTTTCAACTTCTGTTGTATATTTTGCAGTTGTGGTTTTGGGCTGGATAGCAAATTCTTCTAAAACCGTGTATTTGTCATCAGCGACAGTGCTAGGTGTTGTCGGTGTTGTTGCGGCTGCGGTTGTTCTTCCTCTAAATCGTGACCTGGATCTTGTGCGTGTTGTTGTCGGAATGTCGTAGTCGTAATTCTTCGTGGTTATGACAGGAGTCGTACTGCGGAGTACTTCAGGACGTTCTTCTTTTTCTCTTCCAAACTGATTGTTGATTTGCTCAATTTCATATTGGTTTATGCCTTGACGATGAGGATTTTGTCGAGGATTATATTGAGGTGCTCTATATTCTGATTCTTGGTTTTGGTATCTGAACTGGTTTTGAGGATTTGCTTCAGTGGTTTGTATAACAGACCCTTGATCATAATTGTAAATGTTTGGTTGCACTTTTGGAGTTACGTAATCGGGTTCTAAGGTACTTTGGTACTGATTTTCTGGTTTTCTTTCATTTTGATAGTTAGGTGTAAAACTTGCTTTGGATTCGACGGGAACTGAAGGTATATCAAAGTTGCGAATTACTTCTTTTGAATCTTGGTTAGGTAGTTTTCGGTCATTCGTTTGATAATCAGGAGACTGAAAATTATTTCCGTCATTAGTTTTATCTTCGGTTTGGTAATTTCGAGGAGGAGAGTCTTGATAATCTGGTACAAATTCTTTTATTGGAGTTTGTCGGTAATCTTGTTGTGGTTCATTTACTTTTGGACCACTTTGGTAGTCACTGTCAAAATCACTTGGAGGATTTTCATCATAATTTTGAGGGACATTTGGAAAACCTCCAATAAATTCATTCGCTTGATTTAATAAATACGGATTAGGTCTTGGTTCATCTCTATACTCTGGAAAAGGTTGTTTGACGTCAAAATCTTGCACAATTTGATTTTGAGCTGTTTGAGGTTGAACATATTCTGGATGTTTTTCATGCAACTGATCCTTTGTTGAAACTACTACTGAACCGACATGGGGAGAAGGTAGCGGAATTTTTGAGTAACCTTCTGGCGTTTTGTAACTCAAAGGTGCCACAAAGAAAGGCAGTTGCTCAACTTTCCTTTCAATTCTGTTACCTTGCACTGTTGAAAGATATGGTAAGGGGAACTTAGCATAACCTTCTGGCTCGATATTTGATGGACCAACAAAGATTGAGGGTGAGTTTGGACCGACACTGTCTTGTACGGAAATACTTTTGGCGTCTTTTAAAAGATTGAGGACGTCTTTAACTTCTGCCTTCCCTTGTTTTTCCATGAAAACAGCCAAAGGAGGTTGATTTGGTTTGCGTTTTTTTGGTTTTGCCGTTGTTGTCGTTTGTAAAACTACCGGTTGGCCTGATTGCAACTGTTGTTGCAATTTGTGAGCAGCTAATGCTTGTCTTATGAAATCGTCTTGGATGTCAGTGGTGAGGTGGCTCAGTCTGTGATTTTCTAATCTGGAAATTTGTTTCTCTTTTCTTGGAGTTTCGATTTGTTTAACTGTTGTCACTCGCTGGGGGATCGGTTGACTTGATTTGAGATTTTCCAGAGGAACATAGAGAAGTTGGATAGTTTCTTTCTCCTCTTTCGGTCTAGTCGTTGTAGTGGTGGTTGTTTGAATTTGGTTAACATTTTGATTAATGTTGGTGTTTTGTATCGCTCCAAGTAATTCTCGGTTAATAGTAGCTAAATTCAGAGCTTGATAATTAAGGGGTAGACTTTTTTGTTGATCGTTTTTTGTTGTATCGTAGTAATTTTGATTACTTTGCGGTGGGGCTACAAGTTGTTGATTTAACGTTGGTTCTTGAGCTGGTCGTTGGATTTGGGGAATTGGTTGAATTTGGACCGGTTCTTGTGGCAACTGTCGCACTTGTTGAATTTGCACCGGTGGTGGCTGGACATGAGGCAGATGTTGGACCGGTTGAATGAATTGGGGTTGGACTTGCTGTTGAATAAACTGATTTTGTGGGACATACTGGGATGTCTGAAGAGGTACTACCGGTTCGAACTTGTAAGGGTGTTCAGGTTTAGGTTGTCGAGTATTGTCTGCTTTATTGAAACCTGTTTCTCGAAGGTATTGTTGCGTTGGGGCCTGTTTCCTTACGTATTCATTTTCAGGGAAAAAGTTTTGATTAGGAGTTTCCAGATTTAGTACACGGCCTTGTGCTTTTTTCGGATTTGCTGCATTTGAAGGTGTGATGGGTATCCAGTCATTTTCGTCGTACGATTTGTCGTTTTGAGCAATGGTTGTACAGATCAGGTGTACAATGAGTAGAAATAACCAGTTAAAATTTCGTAGAATCTGGAAAAACCCAAAGAAACATTAGTGTTGTAATTTGAATAATAAATAAATTATTAATGTTTAATTTGCACTTGTAAGTAGGAAATTATTCCGGAGTAAGAAATTACTTGCTTTTTCATCAAAGCGAATGAAAGTAGCTCTGTGATATGCAAGGAATCGACATAAATGGCAACATGAACTACATTCAAGCATGTAGCTTTCAGTTGAATAGAAATTTCAGTTTGACCAAGCATGAGCATAAGCAAATTTGCTGCTAAAAGTTTTGAATTGAGAAAAGTAATGCATTATGTCTTAACAAAAGAAAACATATTTTAAGTAAAAGGGAAAACATGAATATAATCTTCTATTGTTCTCGCTCTTAGTGATCATTTATTGTAAATGTAATAATGTAGTTAATCTTTTGTTTAGTTGCAAATTGTTGTAGTTTGTTGATTAGTGTTTACTAATAAAGTGTAATTGATATTTGTAATATAATATTTCACGTAGCACCATGAGTTCTTCAATTACAAAAATTTCTTATTTTATTTTTCATGTTACGTACGTATTTTTTTTTCACATTATTATGTAATGCTACAGGAAGAATTTTTAGCTAAATCATGGCATATTTTTCAATGTTTTATAACCGAGTTATACTCTTCCTCTGATTTTAATATATAGTAAAAGTTTTTTTTTTCAAACTCCAGTCATAAATCATCTAAGCTACGAGCTTTCACTTCCAAATTTTATTTACACTTTTGGTGAATTTCTATCAGTAATGATTATTGAGGTAATTGACAATGATTAAATATCGTTATATTTCGCAGTAACTGACACAATATTAGATTTGTAAACTGAATTGGATGTTAAATTACCAGAACAGTGCAAAAAGCTATATGTAGGTAATTAAAATTGCTTATTATTACTTATAAAACTTATAATAAGATTAATAAATAAGGATGATCCAAAGTTTAGTTTTACTTTTTTTCAAAGAAATATAAAATATTTAAAATAAATAATTTAGGTATAAATTATGGAAACTTGGCTCGCCCTACGAGTACTATAAAAGCAGGTCGCAAGTGTTATATTAACTAATTTTATTAATAAAAGTACATTTTTTGTTCTAAACAATTTCACACCAAGTTACAACATCAACCTTAAAAAAATTCCAACCCGACTTTCTGTCGTGAAACTGTTACGATAGTCGTTCACCCAAAAAGTCCCTGTCAATTTTTCGGCTCATTAGTTTCATATTTGTACAAAATCAGGAATGGTAGTTACGTTTTACTTATTGCTTTTATCGATCCTACATTAAAACTTAAATTAAAAACAAGTCTGTTTATTTTTTCACACTTAGGTGAGTAGCCAACCGTTTCGTAACGTGAAAATCTCCTTGACCGTTGCAATGTCACGGCCATGCAGTTTCAGATGTTCATTTGAAAAAACAAGGTTGGCATTGCATTTTGCTAAAAAAGATAATTTCACATTTTCCGCATTTCACTCTAGTGGCCAGTTTTTGGAAAACAAGAATTTGTTGATTTGGTTGTTATGGAGCAGTTGGTTTGGTCTTTTTAGTGATCAACTTTCACTTACTTAATCACTGTTCATTTAAGCGAACTTATTTTTCGACAAGAGCGTTTTTTAATATCTATAAAGTAACTCTAAAGAATTGCCTTTTGACCTTTAGATGACTCACATCCGCGACAGAAACCGTTCTAATAAAATCACTAGGGCTGTCCTTGGTGCTGTTTTTAAAGCCAGTTTACATTTTCTTTTACAGTTTCTCTTAAAATCGGAAAAGCAACTACTTGGCAAACTCGTTTTTAAATGTAGCCTTAAAGAGTTTGTTTTGTTCCGTGTTCAATATACAGACCTAACTCCTGGTTTCTCTATTTTCTCTTCATCTTACGTTTTTTTTACCAACTTGCTTACATTCCACGCTCTGTTTTGTATTTGTAGTTGTAGAAAACAGGATTGTCGATATTTATTTACGTTATTTATTAATAAACTTTCTTCCGAGAGGATCATACTTAGTTGTGAATGAAACATGATTGTCATTAATGTGTAATCACTGTTTACACGTCGTTTACTACGAATGGAATCCCGGATATTCGTGTCTTAAATACTTTTATACTGAACAAATAGGCCACCGTGTCACACGCTTCCATATCCTCTATGATCACGGTTTTCTCTTATAGTCCAGATGCTACAATTAATTGTGACACTTATTTGGCTAGATTTCTCACTTTAGATTTATAGATAGTTTTTCATTTCGGGTTTAAAAGCAATTTTTTATTATCTAATTCGATAAAAATGTACTTTCACCAATTAGTATTAAGTGCATAGAGAATTTATTATAAAAGTGTATTATTTTAGATATTGGTGAGGCAATTTTATGATGCAACAGAGCATAGAATCGTTTAGATATATCGGTTTATAGAATTAGAGAAATGAAAGAGATAGATGGTATTTAGTTGAAACAATTCAACACTTTCCAACGTCTGTCTTGGTCAAGAATTATTGTGTAATTGCAAGAACAGTGCACTTGCTTGTAAATGTAAAAAATCAAGACTGGCTTGTAATAATTTGTTTCCTTTCACAATTCGACTATGACGGGTTTAGGTACTCTTTGCTTTCTCATAATCATTCGTTTTACTTTACTTTGTAAATGTATTACATTCATATACTCGTATTGGTTAAAAGACTTTTGATATCGTCTAAGTAATGGTTTGAATTTGTTCTAAAGTAAAACTGAAAAGTGTTTGTATTGAAATAATAATAGTTTAGTAAAGTACAAGTTGTAAGCACAAATTTGAAATCCCGAACGAGCCGCGTAGCGGCGAGTTGAGGAACAAATGAGTGCTTGAGGAACCTTCTGCAACTTGTACTTTCTTTTCTATTTTGCCGCTTTATATCATTTTATAAATTAAAAGACGAATATCAAATGGTTTTTTTTCTAGAAAATTTTGCTACGGTTGGCGACATTCATGTGGAATAATTTTTGGCGGCTGTGAAAAATAAAAGTAATTCTTATTTTCACATTTCAAAATAAATAGTGAAGAAAGTTCGTCACTAAAATTAAATTAACACCAATTACTTATAAGAGCACTCAAATGACGTCATTTGGGTGCTAGAATAGACTTATTCTAAACGCAAAATAGAATTTTTTTTTAAACACTAAAAAGAAACAGAAATACATATTAATTTCAAGTTTTTGAATAATTAAAATAAACTGCACTTTTATAATCACTAAAAGAAGTTGAAAAATTTTTGAAAAGAATGGATCAATATTTTCGATTGAAATTATTGTTCTGTCGGTTGATCAAAGAAAAAATAGCTTCTATTTCTATCAGAATTACTATCACTTTTAATTTTATTAAACTTTATAATGAATCACTCATGTTACAAAATGTATTCATTTATTTTGTTTATTTCAATATAAGCTATTACGATTTATTTTTATCAGCAAAGCTACCAATAAACATTTCTCATTAAAAATACTATACCATTGTAAATTTAGTTGAAATAAAATAAAACTAGAAGATAAGTACAGTTTATATTTGTTATAAGCCGGTGGGGGTAGAATGAATCAAGAACACATGACGTCCGTCTGTTTTTGAAATTTGACAGCTTCTGACATTTTGGTACTAAGTCAAAAATTAAAGCTTCTCTCTGGCAGTAGGATTTTAATAGGGCTTGAATTACGATTGTTACGATGATGTAGAAGGTATAAATATTAACCTCAAAACAGTTTTCTCCATTAAAAATGAAATTACAAATAATTTACGTGACGTTAAGACACACTTTTGACGTACATACGTCACTAGCTCTGCGTTACTTTTATCGCATTTGTTAAAGTGAGATAAATAGCGTAACCGACCTTACGCAAATACGTAGCGAGAGAGCAACAAGGCTATTTACAAATGTTGAAAACAGTTAGCTATCTGGAACGTTTTTCGAATTCTTAATTGATTCACACGTATAAATTAAAAAAACGAACTTTATGTAGGTACATACCTACACTATATTTTAAAAATAAAAATATAGATTTTTTTAGTATTTTCTCAAACTTCTTTTTTATTCCTGAATGTAGTAACTGCGAATTTGTCAGTGGAGTTTAATTGTAAAATAGATTCTTCTTTTACACACAAATCAAATGGTTTTGATCTATTTCACTGCAAAAAACACAGTTGCGACGTCGCAAGTGAGGCGGTAATAATGGCACGAGGCATACTTTCGGTAGGTATTCCTAACAAGGAGTTGCTAAGGTACACGTATGAGTACTATAGTATATTACAGAAAGTTGTGTATCGAATTATCTTTCATTCGTTTCAATTATAGTTGTAATTAAGTAATTACTTACTATTGTCACATTTTTACTAGTGTTAACAATTTAAAATTGTCGGATAAACTAGTTACTCTTTGTTATTAATTTTTTTAATATCATATAGTCCCGGCAATGAACACATTCAAGGTTACAATAATTCGTATAAAGCTGAAAATTGATACGAATGTTGGACACCCCATTATAAAAGAAATGTGAAAAGTCCCCATCGATCCCACATCTGCAAAAAAAGTTATTCAAGGTCAAATGTTGCGAAAATGGGATTTTTGCATTTTTCAGCCAAACGGTAAGTTTTATCATGAAAATACATCTGACAAAAATTGTAGAGCATGCAATTCTCTATAAAAAAGGTTCCTATACTTTTTTTCCTAAGAGTAACCATTTCTGAGATATAGCGATTTAAAAAGTTGTGTTCTTCATAATATGCACACGTTTCCACGCCATCTGTGAGGTAGTGTATTTGGCGCATTTTTTTAACGTGGTTTCCTCGGTAGGCCTATTTCACGATCTATTGAGGTTCTGTTTAATTAAGAAATATTCTATCAAATGACAAATGGTACTATTGGAGATGACAATAGCGATGTAAATTATGAGTAATATAGGGGAAAATTATTCGTCTGATTGATAGTTATCTGATGGTACTTCAAGTGTACTGTCTTCTTCGTCTTCTTCTTTTCTTTCTGCTTCTTCATCTTCCTGCTGGGTACAAGTAAATTGTTCTAAGAGCGATGAATCAGATGTCTCCTCGCAGATAAAACAACAATTTTTAAATTGTTTGAAAAACAAGACTTAATTAATTGTGCTGAAGTTTTTCAAAATAGTAATTCTACTCCACAAGTTGTAATCATCAACGGAATTCGCTTTCTTTTTTCTGTATACGGAGCCTCTAAAAAAATTACCTTCTTAGATAAGTTTCGATACTTATCTTTTTTAAAAAATACACGTAACAAAATAAAAGTGCAATTGGCATGTCTTCCCCCAACCTCTGCTTCTGCTCAGCAACATCTATTTTGGGTTTATTATCAAGTTCAAGTGTGGCTTGGTAATAAACTGGACCCAGAAGACTGGGGTTGGAAATTAGTTAATAATACATTGGGACCAATTCAGGCTTTATTCCCACTTGTACCGGAAAAACTCCTCAATATAATTTATTGCTATTGCAAAAAGGGGTGTAATGCCAAATGTGGTTGCAAAAAAGTTGGATTGTTTTGTTCATTACCATGTACCAGTTGTCAAGGCCAATCGTAAGCATCTCTGCGAGGAAACATCTGAGTCATCGGTTTTAGAACAATTTACTTGTACCCAGGGAAGTTGAAGAAGAAGAAGAAGAAAAAGAGAAAGAAGAAGAAGAATAAAGAAAAGAAGAAGACGAAGAAGACAGTACACTTGAAATACCATCAGATAACTATCAATCAGACGAATAATTTTCCTGTATTTACTTATAATTTACATCGCTTTTATCATCTCCAATAGTACCATTTGTCATTTGATACAATATTTTTTAATTAAACAGAACCTCAGGAAAAAAAGTATAAGAACAATTTTTATAAAGAATTGCATGCTCTACAATTTTTGTCTGATGAATTTTTATGATAAAAGTTACCGTTTGGCTGAAAAATGCAAAAAAAACATTTTCGCAACCTTTGACCTTGAATAACTTTTTTTGCAGATGTGGGATCGATGGGGACTTTACACATTTCTTTTATAATGGAGTTCCCAACATTCGTACGAATTTACAGCTTTATGCGAATTATTGTAACCTGACCCCTATTTTTTAAGCTAATTTGCCCGGACTAATATTTACAGTTTACACAGATGAGACTTAATTTTAATAACAGTTAATAATAATATATTCTCATAGGTGATTAAAAGTAATAGTAGAAAGTGTTTGTTGTAAACATAGATTTTTGTTAATTAACGAAAATATGAAAGAAAAAGTAAAGGAATAATTTAAACTACTAAATAAGGTAATTTGCAATTTAAATTACAACACATACTCATGAAAAATTAAACAAGCACGTTGCAAAGTCAAAAAAAACAAAAAACTGAAATGATTCATTTTTGAAGAAGGCGTGAATTTATTTGGTTTAATGTCAAGGTCAAAAAATATTTTAAGTTTTAATCTATAAAATACATATGTAAATTATTTGTTTATAAGCTCTTTAGTTATGAATTTCAGTTTTATAACTGTACCTATAGGTATTTTCTATCATTTGTCACATTTTTTAAAGTTTAAACTTTTTTTACATTTTGTACTTATGTTTATCATAATTATGAGAACATGTTATTATTAAATCTTTTTGGCATATCTAATATAATTTATGTGAAAGTAAGTGCATTTCTACATTTTAGCACTGTGTAAAACTTCCTAGCATTTACACATCACGTACAGAGTTTTTAAATAATTAATTTAAATTATTTTGTCAATTAAGTGAAAAAATTATGGATAATATAGCGTTAAATTTCATCTGTGACCCGTCAAGCTTAAAATTTATAAAGTTGCATGGTTGTTATTGTTATAGGTAACCAAAATTACAGTAAAAACCGTCACCATTTTATGCTCGAATGAAATAGTAATCATGTAAAGGTTAAGCTAAGTGTAGTCATAACCGCGGAAAATAATTTTTGAAGTTAATTACATTCAATTAAAATAGGAACGTTTCTGTCTTCTTTATATTCTATACGAAATTAATTGTTAAACTAAAAATCATACGATTCAATTATCTTGATGCAGTTGAAAGGTTTCGTTTGTTTCGGTGCTGAAGAAAGCCACGCCTAAAATGTCTAAGTTATTAATGGCACAAAGTGAGAGCTTTTATTGTTAAGATGACTTTTTAAGCTTGCGTCAGAGAGACGGTAAAATCACAAAACGTTCGTATCATTTTTCTTGCCTTTGCTGATGGTTGGAAAGTAACCAGAATTTCCTGGGATAATTTTAAGAACACACTAACTGATTTTAATGTCACAAACCTAATCTGAGTTCGAGTAACATCCTGAAAAGTGGCAAAAGACCAATAATATAGAACTACAGCCTTCTTAACTTGAGAAATCCAAAATAGGAGAAGTTATTTGTTTGAATGAAAATATTAATAAGTGTTATTTGTGCCTAATTTAACAGTTAAAAACTATTTTCTTATTTTTTTCTTGACGATCCTGCATCACACTTGTATCTCAGATGACCTACATATTATAAAAGAGGCCTCTAAAACGCTTGCTTTCTTGAGATCGAAAGTGTTAATAACGACTCATTCAAAAAAGAAATATGATTCAACCTACGACAGGTGATATACATTAGTTTTAATTTCACATTTATTTCTACATTTCCTGTTCTTAAGATTTTGTGATTGTTGTGAAATGATACAAATTCCATACAAGTATTTATAAGTATATTCCATGTCAAGAATCGTTATAGTTTCGTGACTATACACATCAATCAATTATTATTTACCAACAGATTTATGTAGGTTTAAATTGCTAGTTATACACAACATTGTGATTGGATTAGTTCATGTCTGGAGGTCCAAATGTTGGGCACAGCCAAGACAAAAGAATGCTTCAGGGTTAAATAAAAATTTCAACACGCAAAGGATGGCCGAAGAAAAAATTTCTTAATAAGAGTTACTGATGCAAGAAGCTCTTGCGGTTATGATTCATTTGAATATTTCCATGTTTCATTCAATTATCTTTCGATAAATAGGCAAAACATTAACCATAAATAATTTGAAGGATTTCTGTACAGTTTGTTTATTTACCCTTTGCTTGATGGGTATGACAAATTGTTTTAAAATTTTGAAACAGTTTTTTGTTACATAATAAGAACAGTAATTGATAACTTTATAGTTAACAGTTTTGCGGGGTTACATTATGTCTCCAGGTTGTTTCACTGCTCTACAATTAAATTTTCCTGCAAAGGAGAATTATGTAAATGTAGGAACCGATCTTGCACTAATAAATTTACTGTTTTATCTTATAATAAAATTGTTAAACAGGAATAGTATAATTAACTTTCTAATGACTTCTATAATATTCCAATACATTCTATTTTATTGAACGTTCTAAATCTGGAAATAAAACATTCATTTATTCAAAAATGATTTGCTTTTAATAGAAATCACAATAATTTCCCATTAAGTGCTCAAGTGATGTATTGAATAAGCACAGTTATGTGAGAATTGTGTTGGGTATGAAATAATAAACTACCTGAGCCTCCAGTTAATCACATTTCATATAAAAGCTTGATATTACAGCGTGAAACACTAAATGTATCAAAACTATCAATTTTTTTTTCAAATATAATTTTAAGTTGTGCAACAATACTTTCTTATTTTTTAGATCCACAAGACAGAAAATCCAGTTCTTGCACGAACGCTAATTATTTTGCTATTACTTACCATTTTGTAATAATCCCATAAAAAATCGTACACCTAGTTTAGATAAACCACTCGATTTTAATAGTGGAACAATCACATCACTGTCACTGGCTGTGGTTGCACTCGGATATCTGCTGAAGAAAGTTTTCGAGAGGCCGGCGTTCGCCTTCTTATAGGCTACGTATGTCATGTGGGGCGCGGGCCTAGAGGGGCTTAGCCACCCCAGCAACAGGGTATCTCTATAATTATGTAAAAACTCAATGATGGGCGTTTACCGTTGCGTTGTATCGAACAAAATTCTTGGGAAGCTTTGTCAAGGGTTGGGTGGGTCTATCTTTATGGTAGAAATATTTTTGGATTTATGTGCATCACGATAAGTGTGAGTTTAATTTAAGGGGAATTCTTCAGATTCTTGCAAAATTATCTCTTAACCTACTAACAATAAAATATCAAACCACTGTAATGGCCTTGTACCGGTCAAGTGATTAATACTCTCTTGACAAAATTGGATCAAGTGATATTTTCACGCAGATTAATAGTATTAGAAGTAGTATTTTAGAGAAGTTATATAAAAGTCTGTTTCCGTATTCCTAATTTCCTTATACAATTGTTTCAAGTAGAGTTTCGGAATTTATTAGAGCACTGAGATCATCTTACAAGTGATACTCGTTCAGCCTTCAGTAATTAATTAATTAAAGCTTTCAGCAGCAAGTAAAGGTTATAAAGAATCTTTACCGGGAAAAGGAAATCATTCGACGTTATTGGTTTATTAAAGTTCCTATCAAAGTTTAATTTGGTTTTATAAAAGTTCATTATTTGTTGTTTTTTTTTTTTTACATACTTATGTTGTAGTGGATATTTAGCTATTTCTATTTACAAATATTACAAAATTTTGGATTATCTAATAAACTAATTGATGTTTTTTAAAAACATCTTATTTTTAAATTTAGATGAAATCATGGAAAAAATGCGGCATACAACATTAATCACTTTTCAAAATATAATTTTTGTAAAAATTTTCTCATTTCAATTTAAAAAACAGAGAAACAAAGAAAGAATGTTCTAATTGTTCTGACAGTAATAAGCTTTTCTTTAATCAAGAAAAGTGTAGCAATTTGTTTTTCAGCTTTTACATCTGCAGTTTTTTAAATAAAGAACTAAAGATTTTTTTAGTTTTCTAAATGATTAGTTTAGTTTTATAATCGAATTACAGGAACTTGAAAGTAATTGTTGGTTTAGAAGTGAAATTTTTGTTAATCATGTTAATCCGTAGTAATCAGCATATTCTAAACAACATTTAATTTAGAGCTTCTTTAAATTCTATTATGAAACTGGCCATAACTACTTAAAGTTACATTGAAATAATATACCAAATAATGTTCTGAACAATTAATTGGTGCGAATTGACAGCCTGTATTTCTTAACGATTTTAAAAATCATAAAAAATTTACGTTTCGTAATATCCCGACTGAAATTACAACTTTTATCCAAAAACAATGTAAAAACATCTGTAACTTTTTTATTTAATGGATAACGTAGTGTAACATAATTTTAATTTAATAACGTTTGTGATAAGTTTGTTACGTTATTATTAAGTAGCGTAAAACCACAATTCAGTATAAAATAGATCATGAGGATAAGTAAGACTTTGCGTTTATTCTCTATAAATTCCGGTATTTGGTCTTTCATTTCACTTATTCAAGTAACATTTGCAAATTATTACGCACTAGTTTTCAGTACTATTTCATTATGATAGTTTGTCAACTTAAATGTGGCGCATGTGATAATGAGGCCACAATTTATTTGAAGTGTTTTTTTATGTTTTAGAATAATTCCAAGATTATTAATTTGCTTTATTTTTCAATGTCACCATAACAAAACCGTTAAACGTTTTAATTTATGTCAAACTGCGCATATAATTACTATTGTTAGATACTGAAGGTTGTTAATTTAAATAAAATTAAGTCAAAGATATTAGGAGACAACTTCTTAATTTTATGTGAAACTCTGCTGAAAAATAAAAACGAAGTTTTGGAGAAATTTCCTCAAATATAAATTTATTCCGTCAGGTGCTGGTGAAATTGGTTGACTTTTAATTACTATTTTCGGATGACCGGCCTGCGTATCAACTTCTTACTTCCGATTCTGATAATGAGAGGAAAAAATTACGTAATTATACGATATTTCACTTTCTTTACAACTGGAATTAATGTATTTTTATCAGACTCACTGAATCGTACAATTATTAAAACATACTGCGAAAATTTATTCGCCACAATAAATGGTAATGAGTTTCATCAAGTGAGGGTCAAGAGAAAAGATTGTTTACGTTTGAGGTCAACACACTGTTTGACTTTTTTATAATTTTATCCTAAATACTGAGAAAGCCTATGAATTGGAATTATCTTAGTTACTTGTTCGTTTTTGCTGTATGAGAAACCTTCAAAGCCACCCACTGTGCCCTACTTTAACGTAAGAACTTTGCTTCAAAAATGACTAAAGTCAAAGTTCGCTTAATGCTTAATCAGAGATTCTCTATACTTGGTCAGAGAATTAAATGATTTTGTAAATCTTAAATCTTAAATTAAATATTATATTTTATTTAAAAACAAAATAAATAGAAAAATTTCCGTTATTATTTCTTTAACTTAACAGAAATAAAAAAACTCAGTGGTGTACCGACTTGACAGGAAATTAACATGTTACAGGTTTCACTTGCTTGTTCTGTAAAATGCTTTTAAAATAGCTTTAATAAAAACCGACCAAACAGGTGCTCTATGGCGGTAGATTGTAACTTTTACCTTAAAAATTTCTATACATGTTCATACGTGTGTCCACTATCTCCACTCACATAGTCAAAGATTTTTAAATTTTTTTGTGCCTGTTTGAAATTATATGTTCGTATGTTAGAATAATTAATACTTAAAGCGAATATGGTCACATTTTTGTAATAGCCAAAAATTGTATAATACATAGTTATTAACGCTAAAATAATATCTTAGAATTAATAAAACAAATATGATAAAATAAAAAATATAGGCTATCATATTAAAAAAAAATTATGATTATTATGAAAATGACATAATTTAATCTAATTAAAACCAACGTGCAAAGATATACTTTTTTACTATTATTAGTAAATTTCTGTAAATTTACGATATTAGAAGTTTCACCAGGAAATATTTTTTTTTACACTTTTGGACGACATCATTTGCTAAATGTTGTAAATCTAAAGTTGAAAAATATTTGTTAGATTTATAATAAATAATATCATAATCATAACTTCATAATAAATTAATTCACTTCTTTTATACTCTACTTTTTTCCTGCATCTATGATTTTAAATGAGTATTCTAATTATAAGTTTCAGCTGACTTTTGTCTCTTTTTCCTAACATAATATAATGATTTTAATTGTAATTACATACTACCTATATGTAATTGGAATTATGAATTTTTAATATTATTATTTTATTAATTTTCATAGATGTGTTGCGGTTTATGATAACCTTTACCTTAAAAGTACTTCCATTAAAATTCTCATAACCTAAACGTGCCAATTTTGAATCAGCAAAATTACTTCAAAGTGGGTACTTTACGTGCTACCTAGTTTTCTAATTTTAGTACAACACAACACGATAAAGTTTCTTCTACAGACGAATCTAAATAATCTGCTATTTTGGAACTATTAACATTCCACATACCTTTTTGAGGAATATACGTCAGCATTAACGTGACAATAATCTATGCAAAAATTTGGCTTAAGAAAAGACGGAAATGTCCACGACCCACTTTCTTAATTTATTGTTAACATAAAATCCTTAAACTGTCAGTAAGTTCGATTTCATTTTTAGTGTACCTAAACACACGGGAAAAAAATTGTGCTATTTTTAGCGACTTTCCCCCAAAAATCTTAAAAACTAGACATAGGTTATTTAAAATGCAAAACTTGACTTCTTGTTACACATTACCAGACATCAGGTTTATTTACATTACGTGGTATTATGCATGGCTATTGTCTGGTAATAATTTGCAATCGTTTTGCTATCAATGTTTATTAATTGTCATTACACATAATCATCTTACCAAACAATTAGTTGTTGCAAAAATAGTTATATAGCTTTTATTGCGGCACATGACGAGATATCGATTGCAATTTCAGAAATTGTTCTCATTGAAATTCCTCTTGGTACGATTTAACCATAAAATGATTGCGTTTGGCTTTGCTGTAATTTTGAACAGTGAGAATCACATTTTCACGCCTTTCACATTTTCCAATTTCAAAATTCTTTTCAAGGGATTGTGTTGTTAGAAAGTGTTGACTAAAGACTTTAGGATGTTTGTACTGAATAAATTAGTTACAGTTTAAAAACAGCAATATTTGTTAAAAGCCGTCTGGAATTGATCTTGTTTTATCCTCCACTTGCCATACCTAAATAATTTTTCCATTCTTGTTTTTTCTCGCAGGCTCACAATCACACTAGTAATTATAAATAAATGAAAATAATTAATACAAACAAGTCACTTTTGATTGTGACTGTTGGAACACTTTTAGTACAAAGTAAAGCACTTAATTGAGGGGATGTTGAGAATTCACCGGATGTGGACGTATGACGAACGTTTATTAAGTGGAAAGAAATCAACAGACCTTACATTTTTAATGACTAGTTAACGTTAGTACAACCATTAATGTCGCCGTACTTTGGTCTTTTTAGACTTAAAATTTTAAATAGAAAATTCTAATTAAAGGACATCCTGCGAAAGTTTTAGTTAACACTAAAAGGTGTTCCTAGAGGGTACGTTGTAATTGAAAGAGCGTGAGAAAAGTAGAAAATCTAGAAACGGAAATAATAATTGATTGGAGATCGATTTATCAATCATATTTAACGATAAATTACCATAATTATCTAAATTAAGAGGTGTCACTGTAACATTGTAACATTGTGGGGAAATATCGACTATTATAATTATACATACATTTACATACATCATTTAAAATGTAAAAAAAAACTACTGTTATCCTCCTAAAACGAGTAAAAAAGTTTTTCTAAAAAATTGTATTTTAATTTTTAAAATAATCAATAGAAAATAATAAAAAGGAATTTCCAAAAATCCACAAAGTTTCTGAAGTATAAATTGTAGAAAAATTTTATAGTGACCACTGAAGATGAGAAAAAAATAAAGGAGAAGAAATAACAGGAAGAAACTTATAGATTCTTGTGTAAAATAATGAAGTATGTATTCTAGCATCTTAGTATAAATAATAAAATAATACCAATAATAAATAATATGAAAACAACTAATAATACTTTGTTGTGTAAATTATAACATACAAAAAACTTATAATTTAACTGTTAACTATTTAATTTTCTTTATGAATTTCTACTTTCATTTGTATTGCAATTTGCGTTAATTGTTCGAACAGAGATGGAAACTATAAATCCCTATTTTAGGCTAATTTGAAAAGTATTTACCAATCTGGAAGCAAGTTGTATCTGATAAATCGCTCATGTCAATAAAATAGTAATATTTTTCTTACGACCCTCACAGAAAGTAAGATTTTTTACAACATAATTTAAATGTTTTCCTCCCTCATCTGTTCAAATTGCAATAAAAATAGAAACTGAAAAACATACTGCTAGGTTTAATGGCGAAACTAGGTTATCAAGAAGTTCTTAGTTTAGAAGTTTTTTTTGCTGGATCGTAGGAAAAATTATATGGAGGAAAGTGTCTTTTTCATCTGCGGGAGGAAAAGATACACTTTCCTCCCTTGTAATACAAATAGATACCGATTAAATTTACTCGTGATATCCTTTATTTTTTAATCAAGTTATATCAAATCAAATGCAACAATTTTACTTAGTTTTGAAGGCATTATCTCTGGTTCTCTGATAATTTTCCTTCCTCAGACTTGCCTAACCGTTAGGTCGAGACAACTAAGCCACAATTAATGCTTTTAGTTATGCAATACCTTATATTATATTCCACCTTCACATACTTCATCACGTTTATTCAAATTTGTTTTTATCTTACTTTGTCATAAAATTATTCAAGCGATGTCTGATCCTGACGCAATATCAATTTTGGTAGAACCTCAGCATGAACTTACATAATTGCCTTTACTTTCTTCGGAAGAATTAATCTCAATGTTTTCCTGCGGCCTTGGTTTGTTGGTTAGATTCGATTTTCCTTATATTCTAGCACTGGGGTATTACGAAATGGCGCCAAATGTTTCAGAAATTACATTGTGCACTCGTAAATTATAGTTCATATCCGAGTTGAGTAGCAGTCGACCTTCAAATATTAAAACCGCCCACTGCCACCAGTGAAAGTTGAATTGTTTTAACTATACACCATCAAAAAAAAAAAGAAAATCGTGTACATTAAATAAACAAAAAAGAGCACTTGTACACGATATTCGATTATAGTGTAAAAGGTTTAAGTGAAGAAAATTTTTTGGAGTGATTTTTGATCGTTCTTTGTTCTAATTTCACAAGTTCGTGCACTTTGTTAAAAGTTGATATCCTTGCATTTGTTGCATAAATGCTCATAAAATCTAGTAGGGTTAATTTTTGATAAATACTTGACTACTGTATGGATCGATTGGAATTTGAAATATTCCATTTTTGTTTATTATGGTAAATTAATAAGTGATTACTTTCGCGTCGTGATGTGATGTGATTACAGTTAATTAACTTTTAGGTGTAAATTGAATTCATAATTGGAGAGTGTGCTTTGAGAAACAATAAAGAAAAAGTTGATTCTGAAAATTTTCGATTGTCTTCTCAAATCAACTTTTATAGCATTTGCAACATTTAAACAAGACTTTTTCTTAATTATGTGGCACTTACTCAATAATCATGTGTCTGCTTTAGAGAATGTCAACAAGGTTACCTAAATATACCTAAATAATGTAATGCAATTATTTATTGAAATTAAATATTTGCTCAAGAATTTTAAAATTGTGGAAAATATTGATACTATTTAAAAAAATTTCTTTTAGGAAGGAGACATTTTTTCTTTTTCCTTTTAACTCATTATTTATACGAACCGAATGAAATAATTAATATAAACTGGTCTTAAAAAAGAGAAAACGGAACTAGTGGATTATCTCAAGCATTTCGGCGTCTCCATTGGGTGCTAGCTATTTTAATTGCTGCTTCATTAGTTTATCATAATTTTTTTCTACCTCAGACAACCTTCACCTAAAACTTTTTTCAGACTGAATTCATTTCCAAAATTAAGTGGTATTTTCACTTTTCGTTCGCTCCCATTACATCGAGAAATTTGACGACTACGAAGAAGGTAACAAGTGCTGGGTGTGTCATATCTTTGAAACGGAAGATGGGGAAAGTCATACCAGTCTGCGACATACTTGTTCAATCTCTCTCCACAGCTAAAAGTATTTATTGAAAGAGTTGGAAAGCACAAAAAGATTATAATAATTGCAAAACAATAGATGAATAAAGATTTTATTTGGTGGTTTGCATATTCGGATGATGTTTTGTAGTAGAAGAAGAAAAGAAGAAAGTAAACACGAGGTGATGGCCCAAGGATGTAGGTAACCTTGTAAAACTATCCAATGAACTTGACCGAACTCATCTTCACCATGAACTTATCTTGGTCACTATTTGGGCTAGCATATTGCAATTTTCATTGCCAATGTGATCACCATATGAGAATGAGAACTGTATCTTTATTTAAGTAACTATTTAGCAAAATTGGTTCATGTAATGAATATTAATATTGTCCAAGAGAAAAATATGCGTCATTAGAAAAGTGCATGATTACGGCGAGTCACTTCTTATGTTTTTGCTCCAATTATTGGTAGAAATTCCCATCTTATTATGCTCTGTTTCATTTACGTTACTACGTCTTTTTGAATCTCTTTTTAGTACGGATGCGATCACCGGTGTGACAAAACATTTAAATTATCACGCATCTACTTGAAGAGATAGTTTTAATTGTATATTTGTTAATTGTTTTAAACTTTTGTTCGAATGCATTGAAAGAAATAAAATTACTGCTAAGACACTGTATATTGTAGCTTTTTAGTTACTATGATAATTGTTACAACATTGTTTATTGCATCATTGTGGCATATGAAATTCAAATTTTTAAAGTGAGTGTTCTGAATTAATTTAGGTGTTAAATGTTTCTTAATGAACTCGTTATGGTTTTGATTAACAAATTAACTAGAGTTGTTTAACTTTAATAAAAACTGAATAATTATATCCATTCAAAATACACAAAATATAAAAAATATAATATTGTTATTTAAGCCCACTCATCTAATAGATAACTGATAATTAAGCTACTTACTCATCATTACCTAAGTGTATAAAATATTAAAACATCACACCGTCTGAGTAACAAAAATTTCGATTAATTGTATAGAATTTCTGATAATTATATGTTCTACAAGTTTCTCCAATTGTCTTTGCGCTACATTTTCAGCTGTCAACTAGAATGATATATGGTAGTAATCAATATCGTTTTTTCAAACCAAATGAAAGCCACTTTTGGACGTATTTTTTTAATAATAAAAATGATAGTTACAATATAATTAACTTATTACATTATTCGATATCACTTTCCTTGCAATTGGCAAAAATAACGCAACAAACGTTATTGTGCAATAAAATCTGAATGTGTGCAAAAACACTTATAGTAGTAGGTACACATATAATGGAATAAGTACAATGAATCCAAGAATCACAAAGTTTGAGTAAAACGAATCGGTCCGTTGATTTTTCTTACTAACTTTTGTGGTCAGATATTGTTAACGTCTTCGAGTATCATAGAAGTAATTATTACGATGGATGAGGGTAAGATATTGCTTGAAACTTTGACTAACTTTTCCCTAAAATAATAAATATTTTCAATTGCCAAACTTATAAAATTTAAATGTAGCTGTATTTTTCCGGGTTATGTGGGAAGTTTGAGTTAAAACAAAGGCTTGAAAGTGAGGTTTTTGACGAATTAATCACAGCTGTCTTAAGTGCAAACAACAACAATATCCGAAACGGTCATTTAGAACTTGAAGACATTCCGGAGAACCAGTTTGAAATCCTCCGGAAAGTGCTTCTAGAAGCCGATCTCGATTATCTACAGTTGACGTGCGATAACTTCTAATGCAATCGGGAAAAGTTAAAATACGATTTTCTCAAACTGAAAGCCTATTAGAAGCGACTATTATTATCAATGGGAAAAATTTTGTCAAAGTTTTTCTTGGTGAGGACCTCTTCGTTATGTTAAAACTATACATAAATTTTTAAGCACCATTTTCCCGTTAGAACATTTCCTATATAAATTTGAAAAAATAAAAAGGAAGTATTAGGCTTCGTAGACCTAGGCACTAAATCAACGAAATTGATCTAAATTTACCGACAATCGACTAGGTCAAGTCTATTGGAAGAACTCAAACGAATATGTATTTGGTGTTGATTTAGTGTGCACAAAAATGTAAATTTCGTCGACTTTTTTCACACTGTCGTTGTGAGAAATGGAAGTAATTAAAATTTATGGCCCTATTGTCGGTTGATTAATTAATTTGTAACACCTTTTTGACACAATTTGTAATATTTCTAAAACTAATCACGTGGGTAGAAAAATACAAAATCTTAAAATTTAAGGTTGATGTCGCAATAAATAAGCCAATAAATGTGTTGGTTCAATTGTCAAATTTCGACCCCGAAAACAATAAATAAAAACTTCAACAACGACAACAATGACAACACTTTAAAATTTTCAAAATCTACTTTTGTCAAAATTCGTATATCTTTAAAGTTCAAAATCGAAGCTCAAATTGAATATGGCCGAGCGGGCACTCGAACTCTCACTATCATTTTTGAGACTACAACAATCTAACGACACACAGAAATGTATTAAGAATTGTTTAATCAGCCTTTTCTTTGATTTTCTCGAAACGAGTCCGCCAGTTATCGCGCAAACCAACGAATCTGGTCTTCCACTAGGAAGTTTTGTGCTTCTTTTTCGGATCGCGTCGACGCTCCGCCTCCGGATTGATCAGAATCTTGAGATCCTTGTAGTCCAGCTGCAAGTACCATTCAAACACTGTTAGGCGCCCCCACGGGGTCGACAGCGCCCAGGCCAGTAATTTCGCCCACATCTGCACAGGCGTCAGATTCAGTAACTTTACCACCGAAAAGCTCCAAGCTACACCTACACCCCAAATGAGTTAGTGACTATTTTCCTCAAAACGACCCTACAGATTGTTAAAGATGTTAAAATTTGGGTGATGGCACTGAACGCCTATGAAGCAGATGTGAAGAAATTAGTGACAAGTGACGCGGATAAGGCCGATGACCACTTACCAACATTTCGTCGTCTGGAACTCGGGATAGCAAGTCTAGAACTTCGTTGTTAGGAACGGAATGTGGGCGAAGGATTCGCCTAAAGAATTTGTTCGTTCCCCAAAGCATTAGGAGATATCTGATAGGAATTAAGTATAGGACGATAGTAGCAGCGACCAGAAGACCAATCGCTATCCAAGATAGGTAGGGAACGGTGAAGTTGAACGTGCTGAAATTGTAATTATAAGTAAGTAAAAAATTTAGTAATGGTAGTTTAATGTAGTACTTTTTAACGGCTTCGAGAAGAGAAGCTATACGTCCTATGGCATTTTGGACACCTTGCGTGACTTCCTGTATTGCCTGTAGCCTTTCTTTTAAACTCTTCTTCTCTTCCTGGAAAACAAATATAAATTCATGTTGTCATATCATCAATTTAGAAATTCGACATTTACTAAATTTCAATTCATCGTTGAAATAAATCGGTGCTAAAAGATGCTGTTTTATAATGAAATACATAGTTTGAAGTTTGGAATGTAAATTTTTGTGACATTCTTTAGGTTTAAATAAAGTTGAGAAAAACATGAGAAGAAAAAATAACATCACAGATTGAACCGTAAAAGATTGCTTTATTCTCTTAAAACTTGCATTATTAAATATTTTAATTAAAAAATATAATAAAATATAAAAATATCTCAATCTTTAAATACAGAATTTAAAAAACAATTAAAACCTTTGATTGTGGCCCTCTACTATCTACTACAACATTTTAAAAAAGAAAACCAAGAGAGCAACAATATACAGTGAGCGGCAAAATTATGGAAGAATCTTATTTATAAAACTGGAAATATTTAGTTTTAACAAAAATGCTTGAATAGGCATTTTTTTAATAGAAAAATCTCAACTGGATTTAAAATTGTATGTTTGTTTTCTGTTGATATTATTTTACTTTTTGGATTTTTTTCGAAAATTTTATCTAATATTTAAAATTTTGGTGTTGTCATTTCGAAAATTAGATATATCAAATTGGCTAAAAAATTAGGGGTTTCCATTAAAAAAAAATGTTGACAACAATACTCAAAAACCAAAAAATGTAAAATTTTACATCAAGTTGAAAATTGCGCATTTTTTAAAAAGAAAATCGATCTCCTCGAGGATTTTTGCCAAAACAATTTTTTCAGTTTTAATAAGATTATTCCATAATTTTGCCGCTCACTGTATTAAAATAAAGACATTTCTCAATTTTCATTTCACTCTCTTTAATAATCATCATTATTATGATGTTCACATAAACAGTGTCGTATTATTTTCTTTTATGAGTAGTAACGTTTCTAGACATCACATGTATTGATCCCAAGTCGTTGAAATTTTTATAAATCCTAAAACTTACCTTTTCCTTATCATCGTCCTCATCATCTTCGATATCGGAATCTGCAGTTTCATCCCACGGGATGGAACTCGGCCCCGCTAAAATCCTCACAATGTACTGTTTAAAAAATATTAATAATCCAGCGATAGGCAACATCCACGGCTCGAAATAGTAACACAGAACAAGAAAGAGAAGCAGCGCTGCAAAACTCTGAATTTTGGATTCCCACTCGAAGCAGTTCCTGAAAAAATAATACTAACGCTTCCGTCTCAAACAACTTACGATTCAATTACTGGAAGATCTTCCCGAACTCGTAAAAATACATAATGAAAACTTTCAGTCTTAGAACGTTCCTCACGAAAACTTGCCGCTTAAATTTAACTTCGCTTTGCATGTATTTCTCTTCTTTAGGATTAAGCGTCCTGATGCAGGCTCTGATAGGGTTCCACGCAAGATTCATTTCGAGCAAGATTTGGGGATTGTTGCCCTTGGCTCGGCTTCGTAGTTTGCGGTCCTTGAGGGCATACCAGCGTTTCTCACCGTTTCGAATTCGGAGTAAAGGAATGACCACTCGACCCAAAAACTCTACTTTGTGGTCACGGTCTTCGTCAAAGACCGTTATGTCGAGGACGTTGTTGATGTCTTTGACGTTGAAAGTAAATATTTTTTGCCAGGAGGGTGACAGTGTTTTGTATTCGGTTTGTGTTTGCAAACGGGCGTTTCCTAGCTCGAGAACACAGAAAGGGTCGCTTTTGCCTCCCAAATCAGCTGCGGCTAGACCTGAAGCTCGGTATACTTTGACGGTTAGGTGGCCCACGTCTTTGATGTTGTGGAATGTTCGGTGCCAAATCTGGAAATTTTCATGTTTGAAAACAATTTACCAAGAATTGAGACGTAATTACATATCTATTCATAATATTTTCCACTTCGCGAGAGTTCTCCTCGTAAGTGGTCAAGTCTGATATGGTTTCGGAAGCAGTGGTTCCACTGATGGTGAGAAGGAGGTGCAAAGACCCAGCACCATCTTCTAATTGTTGCCATAAACTGTGCGTTCGTTCGCGTTCCAAAGTCGTCAAATCTATTACACACCTAGAGATTTATAGTTAATAATAAATGGCAATTACCGTAAAAAAGACTTACCTTCCAATAAAGTCATCTCTTGATCTATCTTTATCCCAGACGGTGATTTCGAGCTGTTGATCACCGTCGTCGTATAAATGAAGATCAAACTGTTCTAACCATCTTGGATTTAACGATCTCCACACTATCCTACTTTTGTACTTTTCGTTACCTAATCTGATATTAAACAGAGTAGAAGAGAAACCTTTGAGAAAATTTAATATTTACCTAAATTTTACGTATGGATCTGAGGTGCCCGTTTCAGGGTCGCAAGCTAATAAGTTTTTACCTTCTACTAACGCTATGGTCACTACGGAGCTCCATATTTGTGATTTCAGTCGTTTATTTACATCTGCTACTCTACTGTTCTTTTGATAGTACTGAAAATATAAAGTATAAATTTCTCCTACGACCATATACAAAACTAGATCATAACGCACAATTACATATGCGCGAAAATTGGCAATATCGTACGAGGTCGAAAACCTGTGCGATTTGTTTTCGCACTGTGTGTTAGAAATCTAACGCACAATTCACACTAGAATGTTTTGTATTTTTTCATTTAACGTATTTTTTTTGTATCCATTATAAAAAATAAATCGTTATTCAACGTATTTTTGTATCCATTATAAAAAATAAATCGTTATGAAAAAAAATATATGTTCCTAAGAAAAAAATTATTTATGGTCGTAGGAAAAATAGTGTACAAAACTTGCAGGAAAGTGTCTAACGCACTTGCGGTATTGCCTGCACTCCTCGTGCGCAAATTTCCCGCTTGTGTGTTATTTATCACTTTCCGTGCTCATTATGTAATATACTATTTCCTACGGCCCTAACAGAAAGTAAGTTTTTCCATCCTAATTTCCGAAAGGCCAATTACCTCCCAAGGTAAAAATTTTGTTCCCTTATCTGTCCAAATTACATTAAAAATATTCCTTATCTCTCAAAAAGGTAAAAATTTTACTTCCTCATAGAAACGCAAAAACATGCTGCTAGATTTAATAACGAAATTGAGATATCAAGAAAAATTGTTATTTTTGAAGTCTTTCTTGCTGGATCGTAGGAAATATTATATGTATTAAACTGGAGGAAAGTGCCTTTTCTTCCCGCAGGTGGAGGCTATTACTGTCCGAGGCTTCTCGAAAATATACACTTACCTCCCTTGTAATACAAATAACTATAAATTTTTCTATTTCGTTGTTACGAAAATGAAAACATCAGTTGCACAAAATACAATTTGTAACACTGTTTTTGGCAATATTTTTGCCATCACTGGCTGCATACTGTCGTTTTTAAGGAAAATATATTAATAAAAAAAAGATTACAAAATGTTGACATTGAAAAATAGAATAATTCTGTTTCTATTCAACATCTAGATGCCATATCTTCATTTTCATTGATGTATTAGTTGAATTAAAATTTTTGTTAGATAAACCCTCCATATTATTTTAGTGTTTACCTATATTATGTATGTATGTACACACATATTTAATATAAGCGAAAATAAAAATGTTCAATAATAATCAACATTAACATTTTATAACGATTCTTGTTATTTTAAATTACTATTCATCAACAAAAAAGCTTTTCTATCGATTTTTAACAATTCAATTTTGTTGAGTTTTATTTAAAACAGACATTTTATATTCGTTTTATTAAGTCTGCTTTTGAGCTTCGTTCTCTACAGCAACTTCTACTAGTAATATGAAACGTTTACAAAGCAAGTGATGAGTTGATCTTTTCAACATTATTAATAAAGATGAAGCTCTTGTGTATAGCAAGCATTTCTGGAGTGCAGTTTTTAATGACAAGATTTGAAAAATCTCTGATCTCAGCAACACAAACAAACTAAATAAAACGTCATGGATGAATCTATTGAAGTGTGTTATTAAATTCTTTTAAGTTCTTTCAATTCACTTTGTATTTTCAACAATTTGCGTGAGTAAATACTTTTCCCACGCCACCAACATTTTCCAGTTAGTTAAAATTCTCTTTTATACTACGAATATGTGGTTTAGGCACGTTCTATTGAATATACATCTATTTTAGCATTTAACATGCAACATGTAGGTCCTACTCAAACAATATATCGATTACTACTCTAGATAGGGTAATTACTTTTTATTAAAAACACTACAAGCAAAAGGTTTGCCTTTTAATTATGTAAAACAAAGTTTTTCCAAACTAAATCACATTTCGTTGTTTGGGTTATTTACAATGCAAACCACCCACGGTTCGCTAACAGAGAAAAGTTATTTGCTGTACACACTAAGCGAAATCGATAAAATCACTTTCTATAGCTACATCCATTTATATTTTAATTCCTTCCTATAAATCAGTAAAGAACAGAGTACACGACATTTGCTATATTTACTGCCCTGCATACAGATACGTTAAAGCAATAAAATAATATAAAAAAAGCTTTTGTTGGAAAATAATTGTTACCTGTTCTTTGTCCTCTTGACTCTTGGGATACAATGTAACAGTTAGAAGAATCTCTCCTAGTGTCGTGTCAGGTCTGTCAGGATCGTGTAAAACCATTGTTACTTCAGTTGCCCTTCCCAGATCCAGCGTGGTTAGATCCAGAGTTGCCGATCCCATAAAATCGTCCTAAAGAAAAATAAATTCTTCGTGGTATGAACTATATTATTCACTTACTTGAAGTCCCCAATCGTAGTCGAATACTTTGATCTGAATAGGAATGAATGGATCTTCGATCGGAACGGTAAAACTTTCGTCCCATGTTGGATTTAAATCTCGATAAACCGTTCGTGATTTATAAATTAATCTACCACCAACTTTGAACTTGACGTATGGATCGCTTAACCCTGGAACATTTTTAAAATGTTTGAATATTAAGTGGGATAAAATCCATAACAGATTAGCACATTTAAATATGGAGCATTATGGTAGCTTACCGGTGTTTTGTCGATTTATGCGGCAAATTTTGCCGTTAGTCTTAGTTCCTCAAACCATTTTTTCTAATATTCCAATAGTTACATTAACCAAGTCGCCAAAAATTTTTATCAAAAATAATAGTCTTGAAAGTGCGTTTAGCGACTGCACATAAAATGACTTTAATTTATAACTTCAAAAATATAAAGAAAGTTGACAAACGGTTCATTTGCTTTATGTGTGCAGTAAACTTTTTATTATTTGTTCGCTTAGTGAGTCTTTAATACACTTTTATGGTACATAAACATTTTAATCAAAACCGATTTAAAAATATCGTAAAACAAAAACAAAAATTGGGGTGTGCACGTCTGACGTATGTAAATAAAAAAATATAATGTTAGGTATAGTTTTTTGATTGATTGACTGAAAACATAAATTAATCAATAGTGCAAGTAAAACGCACTCAATATTTTTTTAATTTAGTAATAGTCGATTATTTCAATTAATTTTCAATTTTTTTCAATAAAATTTGCCAATGAGTAAAATTATCTATAAATAACGAACAACAAGTTTTTAAAACTTAGTTGTGATTAACAATGTTTGTTCTAGAATTGAATAATCATCAATTCATAAAATTTTCATTTTGTTCTTTGATTTTGATTTTAATAAGAGATAGATAAGAGCGATTCTGGCTCACTCCGTTACCACTTTAACATTGGTAACAATAACAACTACTACAATCAATAAAATAATCCGATTTTTTGAGTATTTCTCTATGGCTATGGCTTATAATATGTGAAAAAATAAGAAGTATAGTACATATTTTAGCAATAATTTAATTAGCCTAAATTAGAAATTAGAGATGAAAATAAAAACAACAGTAACAATTGTTTGCAATTCTAGTTACGTCCTAGACATTTTTGTCGCTGTGTTTTAAAAACTTTTGACATTTGCAGAGAGTTTTCTAGTTTGTTCACTTCACCGTGACCTGCTACGAGTATTAGTATCAAGACTAGTAATTAGTATCAAGATTACAGTTAAGAAAAATGTTATTCTTAATAAACGGTCACATTTCAATTGTACCTACTTTAAACTACACTATTTTTTTTCATGAAGTATTTAATTTACGAAAAAAACGCTTGGTTTCATACTTTTTTTCTACGTGTACCTATAATAACATTCAATTTATATCCTGCCAGCAACAATTCCCATATCTCTATTTTGTGTCAAATTACCCGTAGTTGTTTTCATTAATTAAATATGGAGCTTAATTGAGACTAATTAAACTATGAAGAGTCTCTCAATGATGACTAAGCACATCACACAATAATTATATGAAGACCTGCGAGTTATTGGGAGATGATAATGAAAGCGTTGGGCCTCGTCCGGCGCATCCACCAATTTTACACACGAACGAATTTATCGATAAATCAATTGTCTTTTAATTACTAACTTAAATTGATCAAAGAGAATTAATTTCCTTGTTGGCTTCATGCTGCTTTGTTTTCTTCAATTATCAAAGATTATCTCGGTGAAGAGATGTTAGATAAGTTTGAACGTAAAGAGAATTACAATTTAGAAATCTATAAAGCACAGAATAAGGTTAGCTTACTGGTTTTATTTTATTGTCCGACTCTCTATTGAAACCTAATAGGTTTCTTAAATTAAAACATGGCTCTGTGAGGGTTTTACGTCTTGCAATAGGATTTAATTTTTGATGTTGTACTTGAAGTAACAATTTTTCTTTCTAAAGCATTAAACAAAACAAAGATTTGTAGTTGTTCTCAAACGTGATTGCAAGACGCTTGTCGCATGCTAAAGTTGTTGAAATACCAAAATATACAGACTTTTACTATACTTTATATTATTTTGGTCTTTATGTGACATTGTTTCACGCTTATTTATTTGAGACGCAATGTTTTTCAACCATTCCTTTGTAGAGAAATCTTGAATATTAATTCCTTCCAAAGCAACGGAGTAATCAAAACATTTCTACAAAATTCTACAAACTCATTAACTTAAACTTTTTCATATAATGAAAAAATGCTGCAGCTACAAGTGTATCTTTCAGTTTCTACAATACGAATTTAGAGCTATAAATCCAACAAATCGTAAAATTCAGCCTGAATGTTTATTTCGGGGCGTTTTGTTAAATACGACTAATTTAACTTATTTTATGAGAATTAAAATGAGTCTCTAGCCCAAATAATTTATAATAAACCTAAGATTTGTGGAATGAAAAGAAATATGCAACACAAGAGCCGTTCTTTTCAAATGAAACATGAACTTTTGACATTTTCTGTCCAGAAGCCGCAATGTCTCTTATAACATCAGCTGTTAAATACTGCGCTCAAGTTTCTTTTTAATTATGTTACAATCCCAACTCTTTATACTCGTATAATAGAACTCACACTACTTGACATGTGATCCAATTTAGTAAAGTACTGGTCTGGTACATATGCCTTTAACAACCTTCACGAAAGTTTCAAATTGTCAGTGAATAAAGAAGCTTGCCTAAATAAATCATGTTTTGAAAACTTGAACTAAGCAGCTAGTAAATTCACTGAAACAAGAAAAAGAAATGCAACCTAATATAATCTAATTTCTTTTGTACAGGATGTTTCAGAACTCGCGCCCCAGAGAAAAATGCCAGTAGAGCATAATAAGATAAATAAATAAGATAAACATCATGAACATGGAAAAAATGTTGAAAAACACCTATCTATAAAAATTTCGGTTTCAATCTTGCACTTTGACCCTATCTATTTCTGCTGGAAAAATAATTTTACAAGTTTTTTTGCTACAGACTATTAAAAATTTTTTGACGGAATTTTTTAAACATGTTCCATGTTCCTGATATCTTATCCAACATTTTGAGTTCTGAAACATCTTGTATAAAATTGCAACTTGAAGTAATTAATTGATTTGCAGTGGGATTTAAACAAACTATACCTTCAATATAATTTTTCTCTTTTACTCGTGTTTAATTTCCATTATTTGAAAGAAACAGAGTTTTAATGTAAACTGTCCGTTTTTAATTAACTTCTTGCGCTTAGGGCTATCGTGTAGGAAACAACAAAACTCGTTTGGAAATAAACTCTCAAGTGAACCGCCCCTGGCCAAAACTCATTTAATTCGTTTACACTTCGTTTGAGAAAATATGAAGAAGATAGCACCAATTATTTTTGTGTCGCTTTCGCTACATTTCAGAATTTTAATCAAACCTTGTTTCGAGTCGCTATAGAGAGCTGAAAAGTGCGTCCGCTGTTCTAATCCTATTTCTAAATAATGCAAATTCACACTATAAACTAAATTACCGTTTTTGTCCATGGCGACCAATCCATTTCCCCTACGTAGATGTATCCGTAATTGAAAAAAGGAATGTTGACGTAAAACTGCTTCGCGTCTTCTGGAGATTTCATCGTTGGATCCCAGCTGAAACAAATCACGGACATTTAGGTCCATTATACAGTCAAAATTTACAAATTACTACTTTATTTGGTTTTATTATGCGATTGGTTGCCAACTGTTGAATATTATCAAAAACTCCAACTGATTAATTAAAAACTGTTGTGTAGCGACAAATACTTGTGTTGCAGGGGCGTATTTTTTTTGGGAAAAACAACTCAGAGTGCCTTTTCCTTATGAGGAACAGTACGCGTTAAAAATAAAAAAAACAAAATAAAATTTGAAAAAAATTCCAAAACTCTAAAATTGTCTCCGTACCCTGCATTTAAATTAGGTAGCTAAAGAACTCGGAAAACCGTGTACAAATATGTACTCTCGCTGGTAATGTCAACACCCGTTGTAAACACAAATCCCACTTCAGCTGCATAATCTGCAGTAATTATGTAAAATAAAGTGTAATTTTCAACGTGGTGAAAGTTCCACTTACGGGAAGAAGGTCGAGGCCGGCCACGGCGCTGGTGGTGGGCACACGAGGCTTGGGGGAGCCGCTGGGTGAACTGGTATCACCGCCGCCGCCACCACTGGGACAGGCACGGCTTAACGGCGAGTCTGGAACAAATATGCCCATCACGCAATTTCGACGTCATGTTTATTAATAGTGTGTACTACTAATCATTTTAATTACAGTTTCTAATTACTTACTTATGCAGTCATCTAACACGGAACTGTTTTTAAATGAAGTAAATTTCATTTTGATAAGAAAATTGAAAGTAAAAAATGATTCCTTCGAGCCGGATTTGAACCAGCGACCTATGGATAGCCACAATGAAATGCCTCTACAGTCCACCGCTCTACCAACTGAGCTATCGAAGGCGATACACTTTTGGATTGTTTATAGCAATTCGAACGAGTTTTTTTGGTAAAATGTTTTGAACTAAGACATTGAGATTGCTTATTAATTATCATGTTATTAAAAATGTAAGGTCAAGGTATGTTTATGTTCTCATAAATTTACAAGTATTTCGTACTACAATATTATGATAAAAATGCTTACAGCCCATTATTTTTGTTTATGCATATTTAATTGTTTAATAGTAAGTTGCAAAAGGCATTCTTTTAAGCAAGAGTTTGAAACTCATATACCAGAGAGACACACAATTGCATGGTGCCCTTCTGTATTATACATTTTTTTTCAATTTTGTGCTTTTTATACTGTTTTCAAGAAAAAAGGAACATTTTTAATTTAGAGAATTTTGGGTCAGTTGGTGACACGTATCAGTGTTATTGATGAAGCCGTTGGGAAATTCAACTCGAATTGACAATTGTCATTGTGGGTAATCTGGAAATGAATTATCACCGAAAATTGTTATTTTATTTTATTTACTTTTATTTTTATTTTATTTTTTAGAATCATAACTTGTAGCTGACAATTTTTCAAGGTGACCAAAACTGTCACTGAAATTTAATATTTCTTAAAAGTCAATTAAATTTAGAACAGGAAATTACCTCAAATGGGTGCTAATCTTATTTTAAGCAATTTCCGCTTTACTTCACTTAATCGTATCAACATTAAGTGCTAAAACAACAAATAGTAACAAAATTAAACGAAATTTATATCGAACCATAAGGTAAAAATTTACGATATTTGTAATAAAACGAGCAAACACACATTTTTCATTTAACAAAGAAGCACTTCTGAAAAGCCACACCTGTCGAAAAGTTCAACAAGTTCTCTTAGAGGAACATTCCTGTGAGTTTGAGAAAAATGGGTTAATAGTCTGTGGCTGACCTACATAAAGATAAAATTTGTAACCCTGTGGGACTATAAACATCTACTCGTAGGTTCGAGTACAATTTTGCAATAAAAAAGATAATATAGATTTTTCCAAAAACAACGAACACATTTAGGTCGAGTAAAATAAATACCTCAGCTCAGTGTTCAGGAAGATGTCACTTAACTTCTAACACTTTATACTCATTGTAATGCATTCTTTTACAAAACAGTTGAGTTGATAATAGACATATCATCACTTTCTTCAATTGCATTTGAATACTATATAGAGAGTATTCCAATTTTTTCGTCTGCCAAAAAATAAATACATCTGGTTTTTCTTTATTTTTTTTTATTTATTCTCTTAGAAATGATTTGTAGTTTACTAAAAGAATTTTAGATGCAAAACTATCAATCTAAATTAACAAATAAATGTGTAATGTACAGGGTGCTGCATTTTGGATGTCCGAATAGGGAATCTCCGAAACTAAGAGGTTTAGCCAAAAACGAGTAATACATTCTGGGGCTCATTTTTTGAGAAAATAATATTGGTTAAAACCGCATCCAGCTATCGTCTTTTGTTTGCGACTTATAGACAAAAATTGACATTTCAGCGGAATCTAAAAAAATTCATATCTTCGTTATTATAGAAGACACAGATTTGAAATAAAGACATTATGCAGGCACTTTTTTACGTAGAATTTAATAATGTAGTTAACATTTTTTTTCAGTTGTTTGTTTTGCCGTAATAAAATAAATTTGTATTTTTTTAAATGGGAATCATAGATGATTATGTCATATTTAAAAAGCTTGTTTTTTTCTTATCTAAAAATATATATTTGTAAACAAATTATTATAATACATTTTTAGCAAAAAATTATCTTTGATTTTTGTTCGTAGTTGGCCATGAAAAAATGTTGCATTTTCAACTAAAAGGATTTAAACTATATTATATTCAACCAGAAAGAGTTTTCTAATTTCTAAGTACTAAATAATGAAAAAAAATGCAAAATACGTCGTAAATCAACTTATTGGCGACTAATAATATTTTTTTGTTTTTAAACAAGCTAGCATTACCATTGTAACTTCTAGTGACACATAGAGTATTGTAAAAAAAAACGCTTTAATTCTTGAATAAAATATATTTTATATGACACAAAAATGACGATATGATTATTCAAATATCCTAAATCCGTCTATGTAGAACGTTATCCTACCTATTAGACCATCAAAAAAATGTTTTTTCTAATTGTGTTGACACATTTGTTTTTTATATTTTTGGATTTTTTTTAAATATGTTATAATTTTCTTCTGAGGCGCTCGCATATTTGTTCAATACTTCTACCGTATCGTATTTTTTAAATTCTTATAATTTTATCTATTTTTTCATCTATTTTACAGTTCACAAAAGTCTTATTGATTATTATTTACACATTTGGAGTGAAATAGTTTTTCCATGGCCAACTATTATCAAACAAAATATGTATTTCATTTTTTAAGTATAATTATACTTAAAAAATGAAATAATTATAAAAACATATTATAATTATAAAAAAATTATAAAAATATTATAATTATAAAAACATATTCTGTTACAAATATATATTTTTGGATCAGAAAAAAATAAGCGTTTCAAAATTGCCATAGCCGCCTATGATTTTCATTTAAAAAAATACAAGTTTATCTTATGGCTAAACCAATAACTGAAAAAAAAATTGTTAACTACATTATTAAATTCCTCGTTAAAAGTGGATGTATAATGTCTTTGTTTCAAATCTGTATCTTCTATAATAACAAAGATATGATTTTTTTTAGATTTTGCTAAAATGTCAATTTTTGTCTATAAGTCGAAGACAAAAGACGATAGCCAGATGCAGTTTAAGCAATATTATTTTCTCAAAAAATGAGCCCTAGAATGTATCACTCGTTTTTGGCTAAACATCTTAGTTTCGGAGATTCCCTATTCGGACATCCAAAATGCAGCACTCTGTACAGTATAATTTTGTTTTGGAAATAAATTGGAAATATGAAGAAACCTTGTGCTTATATTTGAAATAAAAATACATTTTTTTATTCATTATCTACGTAGTGTTTTATTCTTTGTTCGAAAATAACAATTGTACGTTAAACAATTTTTTACTTTTCTTTAAAAATACTTCAAGCAGCCAAATTTTTTGTCTATTAAAGTCCTTCTAAAATTCTAGTGCACTTATAAAATTTTAATTTAGAAGCTCGTTTGTGTAAATTGAATTAACCTTTAACTAGCAAACGCTTTTATTATTTTCCCATTTTGCTAATAAAAATTAAAGACTTGAAAAGTTTCAATTAAATTTTGATATTTTCATTACAGCATTTCCAATACACGCTTGGTAGTAATACGGCAGTTCAATTGCCAAAACTAATCAAAATATTAATTTCAGACTACTAATGCAGTTTCGTCTAGTTGCAATGGAGAGAAAGCCAATAATGCTTGAGGCACGAAAATACATTTTCAAGGCTAATTTAATTGTTCCTAAATTAAATAATGTTAAACCCTGGAGGTTAAAGTTAAAATATTAGAATTTTGTACAACTCAGAAAAGTTAATAAAACGATATTTTGGTGCCAGTTAAATTATAATTTAGGTCTTTCCATATTTACGAGAAGTCTAGAACAAAAACGGCTTTTCAGGAATAATTTCGTACATTCTTTTTTTCTTCTTGAAGAATTACGTTATTATAAAATATTATTATTTGTTAAAACATCTGTAAAATTTATATCTATTTTACTTATAATACTTACAAATGTTATAAGACAAGTTACTATTATAATTTTTGAAATAGACAATAATTAATACGTTGTGTGTCAGCGAACTATCATAATAAAGCAAAGAAACTTAAAGCAATTTACCAACACCTAACTTGAATGATAAAACGCCACAAACAGCGGAACTCTTTTGAATTGCAAATTTTACAAACACTCTTTAACATCATAAATATTTTTTTAAAACTGGATCGAAGCATCTCAAACACGCGATTGTTACCATGTTGTGTTATTTTGGACGCGGTTCCATTTAGTTTATTTCTTTAACTGTCTACTTTTAAATTAGTTTCAATGAAGAATGATCTCTGAATAAACATTAAAATTTCACAAGCATCTAAAAATCTATTCTTGTTTTAATAATTTAAATTGAATAAAGTATATTTAGTAATATTATACGAAATGAAACTTGCACTGGATAAACAAATTACCATTATAATCCCAAATCAATATCTTTTATCCGCAAACGTCACAAAAGTGACCACTTTTATGATTAAATGTCACTTTTATGTTGTTTCTTTCTTGTCTCTACTTTGTTTATTACCATTGAAAGTTTTAAATATTTTTTGAAAATATACAATTTATTAACCGAGGCATCGCCGTCTCTATAGAAATAATCCTTTTCTCGCCTGGGCATTTCTTGAGTTCAATTGATTCCCGTTGGCGCTTTAAACTGGGGAAATTTTTTGACACATCCAGTTTTTTAGCTTAAACGGTTCAACCTCATAATATCAATTCTCTCTGGAGTATCTTGTTTTGTTGTATCCTTCCTTCCCAGCTTTTATTAATTGCGTTATTTTTCGTTAATAATTAAAAATCATTCAGTGTTTCCTTAGTAACCCCCGTAACTAAGAAAAAATCGGAATCACTGCTCCAATGCATTTTTTACGAAATGCCCAAGCGGAATATTGATACATTTCATTAAGGAGGTGGTGAACCAAGGAATCTTTCAGCCACAGGGAAAACATGTCTATTGAAGTATTTCCAAAGAATCGTTCTAAAGTGTCCTAATGAGAAACTTTTTTGTGATTTTAAGTTGAATTTTATTCTCATGACTCATGACATGAAGATCCACAATGAAGTGACTCTGGATGCAACATCATCAATAGGTGGTAAATATATTATTATACTCCTATGTATGTGTTCACAAAAAGTCAGTCAATGTTTTATTAATCCAAGAATGATTGTGTATGTGGAATGTATAAAGTATAAAAATATGGCTTCTGATTTATTTGTGAACTAGGAACAGAAAAATTACTTAATTTCTGTCGTTATTATGATTGTTCTGGTATCTTAGTGAAATTCAGATGAAGCAGTTAAAAATAATAACATCTCAGTTTAAAATAATAAATACAAAATGATGCTTTGACATTAATTTATTTCACAACAGTTGTCATACAATTTTAATAAATAGTAATAGTGTATCACGTTTAAAAAAATACTTCAATTATTCTTTACCCGAAAACTTACTCGTATCTCTCAAAAATACAAAATAATTTTTTTACCTAAGAACTCACCAAGTATGTTGTTTTAAAGAAAACTACAAAAGAACTTACGCGGAGCATCAAAAAACATCTTCCAAACTCTAACAATAATCTCATCGCAGTTACAGCACAGTTGCGAACATTTAACACTAAACGTAACCATCATTACTGAACCTTGCATAAGTTATTGATGTAAAATATAGCTATTTATTTGTTTGTTGTTACAGCAATGTCCTTTATTGAACGACATGAAAATCGCATTAGAAATAGAAATAATTTATACGATTGCAATTTGTCGAAGAAAGTCAATGCCAATGACGCCAAAATCAATGACTCACCTGTACGAGTGTGGAGTCGATGTCTTGGACTCTGGGTGCTAGGGGTGCTGTGGTCACTGCTAAGATCGGCAGCGTAATCGGTGGAGTCTTGGCGGCCAGGAGATTTGTGGCGACGCTCGCGTTTGCTGTGCCCCCAACGACTCTGCAACACACACCAGATACGAGTTTCTAAACAGACTAACTATACGGTGAGCACGCGCGACGAACCACGTTTCTTAATTTATCGCTTTCATGCAGATCGGAGGATGAACCAATAGATTTTTATTTAATTAACGATATTTTAAATAAAAATTGTAAACTCCTGAAATTAATTTTCTTCAGCAACATAGGTGGTGTCGTGGAATTCCCAGATGGATCCTATTTGAAATCTGCTTTCTGAGGGGATTGGAGCAAAATCCAATTTATGTAGAACAATACTCGTTATTCGCTTGATGAATTTTTAAAAACAAGAATTTATTCAGTCTGCTTTTATTTTATGTATTTTTGTTTACATGTTACAAGTACGTATCAAGATATTTTAACTTGACAGACTATAATAATACTTACACATAGCTTTTTAAATTAGTTATATAAAGGACGTTTGTTGCTATAAATATACAGAATTATCTTAATACAGAAATGTTAATTCAAAGGAATCTTGGGTTTTACCCAAATACCCACTATGGTCGTCTTTAATAGTTATTTATAATAAAGGGTGTTTATTTAAATTTGGTGTCATAGTTTGGCGGTGATATGAGTGTGTTGTGAATGGATCACAATTTTTAATACGCCCGACGAGGTGTCAAATGTCAGATTAATAACTTTCAATCTATGGTTAGTTCAAAATCGAACTTTCATGGACAGTTTTAACGTTAAATTAAAAAAAAAAAACACTCGTTATATTATAAAGGGTCTTTTTTAAAACTTGACGTCGCAGTTGGCCGTGACAAGCCCGTTGTGAACACACCATGAACACATAAACAAACCAACATAATTTTACAATTAAAATTTTAGTAGTATTTACAAAGTTAACCATCTTCATAATCTTAATCTTGGTGGGTTCGTTCACAATCAATTTTGCAAAGCCAACTTCGACGTTGAATTTTAAAAAGGACCCGATACGTGCGGTAGGTACAGAGTGGTTATAAATGATTTTCATCTAGCCAGCTTTGGAATTTTTTTGCATGTAACTTTATTTGTGCCGCTCTACTTTTTTGAAAGCTCTAGTTCTGTCATTAGTGTCACTTATTAATTAATAATAAATTGTTGTTAATTAAATTTTTATTGTTTCAACTAATTTCCAATAATAATTGATAATAATGTATACTTTGGAAGAAAACAAGTTCATAATTGAAGTCTATTTTCGAAATGGATGCTTAGTAAACGGCGATTTTTTAATTTTGAGTTACAACAAGTAGGTACCTCTATTTTCGTAAGGCGGCATTTTTTATTTTACATGGAAAATTCACAGCTGGCTAGATGAAAATCATTTATAACCACTCTGTATAATTTTACAGCGTGAAGTTTTGCTATTGAAGTTCGAAGCAAAGCTGAGAGCTTTTACAAAACTGAACGCTGTAAAATACCTAACGCACAAATAATGTTCAAAACATTTTGACCGAAAACTGTTCTTCGATTGATTTAAATTTCGATGTCAATAGATATGGCTGATCTTCTCCCACCATTAATGGACTTTATTTGCCATAAAGTATATTTTTTTGTCTAAAATTTTCTTGTTATTTTACAGCAATGTGTGCGCGAAACTGTATAAATGCTTCGTAAAAGTCAGATGCCGTAACTGTCAAAAATGTCTAAATATATCGATTATAGTTGTAAGGAAAAAATAATATTTTTTTGTTTTACATCTAAAAGAACGCTTATTTCGATACCAAAACCGCTGCTCTCATGAGCTATTTCAACATCAATTCGGGTGCTGAAATAAACTAGTACAATTTGCATTGTAGAGGTTGGTAATGGTGGTTTACAGCAGCGTTTTGAGCGATTTTTCTTGTTCAGGTGTTGTGCATGAAACATCTGCAGTATTCAATAATGCAAACTCGAAAATCGAATTTTTCAAATTTTTGTGACACAAAAAGCACAACTTTATTAGGGCAAAAGTTTCTAAATTTTAAAAAATCGACTTTTCTGTTACAAAAATAAGTAAAACGCAAAAATAGAAAAAGCAGCAAACATCGATTCAGAAATAATTTTTTTATATCATTTTCACTTTTATTGGTTTTTATTGTTGTTTTTCTACTGATACTTACACATTACTTGTTAATGTAAAATTATAAATTAATGTCATTAAAAAAAATGATGCGCCCCCGGGTGGGCTCGAACCACCAACCTTTCGGTTAACAGCCGAACGCGCTAGCCGATTGCGCCACGGAGGCGATGCACACTGTCTTCTTCATATGATACAAAAATAAAACACACTAATCAATAGAATAACACTACACTAGAACTGAATTTTAGATTTGAAACTTGATATTATGCTAATAATTTAGAAAAAAAATTCAGTGTATTTTTTTATATAAAGTAAGCTTCGGAAATTAATGATACATGAGTCATCAGAGCGAGCCATAGCTTTTTTTTTATTTATATTTTTTAATAAATTAAGAGCCGGTTTATAAAACATTTAATTGCAATCAATTTTTAATTAACAATTTGAAATTTGACAATGCAAAGTAAATGCCAACTCAATTCGAATTAGTTTAATTTGCCTTTAACATTTACAAAATAAAAAAAAACGTAAAAATGGATGAGAAATAGAGCGGAAATAGGGAGACAAAACACCACGGCCGATAAACGAATCATTATTATTAGCTCAACCAACCGTTTGGATAAGAGGTGAGCTTATGGGATCTAAAGCACATTCAATTTTTTCGTTTTTTTGCGTAAAGTGTAAATAAGCATATTAAGTTTTACCTTAAGTTGTGCGAAAAAACTATGAGCTTTTTGATATACTGACAGATGCGAGACTTCAGGGGGAGCTGCAGACCTAGGACGAATTTCCGGCATTTCTCTAGGACTGCTTAACTCGGAAGTGGATTTGCTCAAATGTCGGGCTCCAATCGTTGGTGTTGAAGACATATTATTGAATTCGTATGTTTCGAGGGCCCTTTCTGCAACAAAAATAAAAAGTGCAAGTAATCAAATGAAAAAAAGTAGATTGCCGAAACCCGGGATCGAACCAGGGACCTTTAGATCTTCAGTCTAACGCTCTCCCAACTGAGCTATTTCGGCTTGATTTTATTAACTTTTACATGTGTTATCAAGGCCAGAATATTTGTAATCTACAAAAAAATTGTCCGTTTATTTTAAATTAATTATTTATTCGCGGTTTAAATAAAAGTAATAAAAGCCTACCATAACCTATAAATAAAGTTTGGCTATAACTCATGTTGATTGCAAAAAAAACCAGCATTGATTCACTTTATTATATGACTTATATGAGTCATGTACACAAAACAACTGGCAATTCTGTTAAAAGAATCGAATAACTAACATCAAAGTCTTATCAAATAAATGAATTTTATACTTAGTGAAACAAAAACATGATTTTTTCAAAGCATGATTGATAAGCAACCATTACGTCAACAGTACATTTAAACCTTAAAGTTCTCTTCTTAATTAAATAAATTAATCACCAAGGACAACTGCCTGCTGCAGTTTTTTTTTTTTTTTTTATAAAAATAGGAATATGAAAAATAAAGAGTACAATTTCCAATGTATATTCTATGTCAAATTCCCAGATCTTATTTTAAAATTAGGTACATTCTGCAATTGATGTGTCAAATAAAAACAGAAAAAAACCTCTTGACATTAGCTTTGTGGTTAATTTATTTGTATATTTATAAATCTCAATGGAAAATGTAATTAAAATCAAAGTGCAACATGTGTTCACTTACATTCTTTTTGCGATAGATATAAGGTCTTAGAAAAATCCAGCATTTTGTTTATGTTATTGTTAAAAGTGTATCAAAAAGAACGAGTAATGTTGAAAGATATGGATGAAATGGTGGGAAATGTAAATTTTAACGCAAAACACGTGGAAATGATAAAATTTGCAAGTTGTTATGGGCGCAGCTGACGTCTCTAAGTACTTGTTTTATGTTTGACAGACTGATAAGATTTTATCTTTATATTCAATATATGAAGATAAAAAGTAAAATTGAAGCCGGAAACCAACACCCTGTTGAGGTTTGTAAGGGCAAAACCAACCCCCTATCTTCCACAGAAACAAAAGTATTAGGTACGGCTGAAATTTCAACATCGCAATTTGAGACTGATTCAAGTATATTCAAAAAATAAAAAATTTCTTTGTGTTTTACATTTAAAGTATTTCACAAAAGAATAAATAAAGATAAAATGTAAAAAATGTTTAAAAAATGTGTTTTAAAAATAAGCTTTTATTTAAAAAAAAGGACGAAAAGTAAAAGAAAAATTTTTCAATCGAAGAAGAACATTTTTGCTCATAGTTTAAGTTTTTAAAATTTATAAAAGCTTTGGGAGTGGTCAACTAAGCAAAGTAATTGTGTAATAATTGCAGTGTTATGACGGCTTTTTGTACAATTTTTTAAAATAAAAACTTTTTTTATTTCTTCTGTTATGCTTATATTTTTATTTGGTGTTTATAAAAAATACATAATATGAGTTCTAAAAATTAAAAAATAAACCTGAAATATCTTTCCTCAGCATTAATAAAGTAAGAAGAAGCAAGAAAGTACAGGGTGTTTGAGGATTGCGAGCAAATATTTTAACCACTAATAGAACTCGGCAAAAAAAGCAACATTCGTTATTCCAACTTTTGTCGAAAGCACGTCATTTTTGAGTTAAAATTAAAAATAAATTGAGGCTGAAAACCCGTCCCCGCCTATGTCTTAATACGATGTTTACGTTCATTCATAAGAAAAAACTTTGGTACGTAAACAGCGTAAAGACAAAAAAATTATCGCTACATTAGGGTAGATCAGTGTCAATGTTAGTGGGTCAATACTTGCTATTATAAAAAATTTCTCGAAATATGGTCATTCGTTGGCAATGCACACTTCTTGTACTCTTCGGGCTAGGGAAGCTTGCCTTCGCACACACAGCCCTTCGAAGGTATAAATTTGAGCTGCGTACACTAATTCACTAATTGTTTCATGTGAACCCCCTAAAAACACACGTATTTAAATCTGCTGATCGCGGTGGTCATTGGCGACCAATCCATCCATCTCTAGGGAAACTGACACGTGTAAACAAGTGATAATTTTTTTGGACAAAAAGTTTCCTTTTTTCTGTATAAAAACTTTCACGGTCAACATTCAATGCAATTTATTTTCATTGATATTTTTACTTCCAACTAACAAGGACAGATACACTGAACGGCTCGTGAAAATCATAGGGGGGAAATTGCAAAAATAAAATTTTGATACGGAATTTGTTTGGTCTTCAATTCGACTTTTCATAACAAATGCTCTTAGTGGTTGAAATATTTGCTCGCAATCCACAAACACCCTGTATAAAAGCTTGCTTATTAGACTATTAAATTAAATATTCATAGTCATAAATTTTTATTATAATTGTAGGATATTTAATGTAAAGCTTTAAGAAACTTTTCTCTGATTTAGTTGTCCTGTAATGCAATTTTTCTCAATTATTTTGTCTCAGCATTATCACAGTTTATTATTTACGAAAACAAGATTCTTACTCTTCCATATTTTTGTAAATATGTAACTTGAAAACGTGTTCATACTATAAGTTTAATTTATCAGAGTAAGTGAGGTTTATATTAAAAAGCGGGATTTTCACTTTGTAATTTAATCCATTTGCAGAACTTATTTGTACATTATTTTCCAACTGTCATCATCAGAATTAAAAACTTTTGAACTCAGTAAGCCAATTAGTAACAGAAACAAATTCCACCAAAACAGCATTTTTGCAAATATTAAATTCTTATTTCAATACCTACATACTATGATGTACATACTTAGTTAATAGAGCTTTCTACTTTAACTAGATATTTGAAATATCGAAATTGCTATCATTTTTTCTCTAGTGTGACAATTATTTTATATGTATTAAGGTGGTTTCACCTTCACCTACTTACTTTATGATGACCATAAAAATATGTTTTGCACTATCCGATCTAAAGCAGTAATAATAATAAATCTTTGTTTCTGTAGTTGGTATTAGATGGCAACACTTTTAAAAATCTTATCACAAATAAAGCTTTAGTTTCATTTATCGTCGAGTTTTGTGATAATCTTCCAGGAAATTATGAAAATCGGATGTCGTTGGGTTGGTTGCTGATAAAATATCTCTCATGATTTAGGTACAAATAACGACTTTTTTAATTAGTGTTAGCTAAAAAAATTTCTGAAGACCTGTATGAATGTTAAATATATGTACTTTTAACTTGTTTTCGGTTTCAATGTCTTTTTTACCTTTGCATAAATGTGTATTGTTGGTCGGTTTCTCCCTACAATTTACCTTACTAGCTTAAAGCTTATAATAAAAGATATGAGTGCTTAAATTATCGTTGATACGAAGTAAGAATTTAGTGGTAATTAAAGGAAATGAGGCCTTGTCAAGAATAATAGAGTTTATTACACTTTTAAATCAATTTCATAGGGGGTGGTTATAAACTTCCAACCTACAAATTAATCATGTATTTCGTTTAAACTAAATTTATAGTGTGGTCAGGGTGCCATAAACGACTAAACAATGAATCGTAAAGTTCTATTAAGCCAAAACGAACTAACTACAAAATATTTATACCACTTCATTTTATAGCAATATCAAAAACTATACGAGTTTTCACCCTGCACCTACTGTCAAATAAACTAGCTATTAAATTATATTTTTGGAGATCCATAATAAAATAAAGGCAAAAATGTGAGTCAGCTTCCATTTGAATTTGATTATTCTTTTTGAACTTGCCGATAACATTGTTTTCATTCCTTTTTTATTTGAATACATTATTGGCTCCGATATCAACTTGTGTGTATAAGTATTTATAACAACATGCACTCTGTGACATACAAGGTGAATAAAAAGTATGGAACCAAGCGTATTTTTTAATCATTTGCCTTCAGAAAACAATAATAATTAATAAAAATCAAAGTGTTATTAAACTTGTGAGTGTGATTTGAGAATGAAATTTTGTTTTGTGTTTGAGATATGTGATTATTTTTTTTGTCAATGGCAACATACGTGAAATTTTTTTTCGATAAAAAATGACTATAGTTGTAATCCTTCTATCCTTTGTAAAATAAATGTTTTACAGTGAGTTGCCATTTGAAAATTAAAAATTTTACAGAACTGAAAAACAAGAAAAAATTTTTTAATTTCATTTTTTGTTTACGCTTCCTAAAATAGCTGTTTTAGGGACTCATTCGAGTCATCTGCTATTCCAGACTCCGCTTCACCTCATCCGGAAACAACAACGGTTCGTCCTCAATAACTATATTTTAGGTACTTGTAATAAAAATAACTATTTTGTTAAAACGTCACATTTTATGGTACTTTATTAATCATCAATTAATTTTTCAAAAACTAAATTATTTAAGCAAAAAAACGTTTGGTTTCATACGTTTTATTCACCCTGTATGTTTACTTGACTTTCTGTTGTGTTAGGTAGTATAAATAAGTCATCCTTAGAACATGTTTTCCTTCTGAATGAATCGAATTGGCTCATATGCCATTTTTGGGAAGTATTCTACTTATGTTTTTCGACTTTTAATGTCCAAATCATGGTCCAACCGAAAATTTTGTGGAAGATATTGTAAATAAAGTCAAAATTTTATTAAATTTAATTTTGTCCCAAAAGAAAAACTTAGTAAGTTAAAAAAATATTATTTATTTTAAAAACATTACGAGTAAAAATAAAAACGTAACTTAAAATCAGGTGATAATAAATTAACATTGAAATCACTTTTTTGGGGTCACCACAATTATACTTGTATTTCTGGTTATAATGTTGTTTGTAAAATAAACGTAGATATAGTGCTATTATTGGTATCTACCTACAAATAAACGAACAGCAGGAAAAAGAAATAAATCATTAAAAGTAATTCATTTGATTGTCCACATCAGACTTTTTAGCTCAAGTGTAAAAAAAAATATTACAGGAATAATAAGTCTGATAACATCGCTATCATGAATTCGTGCAGTAATGTTATTTTTGTAATTTTAATAAAAAGATAAATTGTTCAGGATTAACATGCACACATTAAACTAGGAACCAAAAATCTTTAAAAGGATTTCATGTTAAACACGGGTTTTAACAATTCGACAAGATACCTTTAATTTTGCATATTCGCCATACAAAATACGAGTACATTTCATATTACAAGTAACCTTAGCCTATTTAAATAGTATCTATAGTTATCATTGTTATCATGCTATCATAATCAATAGAGATATACGATAACTACTACTTCTTATATGTTATAAATTTTTATTTCAAAATAATACATATTGACATGTGTAAATAAAAACCAAAATCTAGGGAAAAAGAATTATAAGCTTCGAATAGCATCCATTCCTATTGGAATCCAATTGGTGGTGAAATAAATGTTATTTACCTTTAATTGATTGATCTTAAACAAGTTTGTAGCTGTCTATAGGAAGAAAACATCAATGAGTAGGGTAAGTTTCTGTTTAAACAAAACATAAATAATTGAATGAATGGATAAAACTAGCTATAACACGTTAAAAATGTATGCTACTCGTATAAATGATTAAAAAGAACTGATATTTGAGACGTCAAATACAGGGAACTTCAATATAAAAAAAAACAGAACAACGTTATTGGGTCACAATTTTTGAGGCTTATGTTGAAGGGTAAAGATCGAATTTTATTAATATTTTTATGTGATTTAAAAAACACGACAAAATATCCCAATGCTAATTAGAAAATCAGAATTGTATCAATGATTCGGCATGCAATTCCAGGTCAAATAATTAGCAAATTAAAAACAGAAATCGCTTACTAGAGGGTGAATCACAGTGTTTAGACGGAATCATGATAGGAAGGTGCTAAGTGTTAATTCCTCCAGCTAACTAACACAGAACCGCACTAGCACATTTGCACCGGCACATGCCAGAGCCTCTCACGGCCCGGCTAAAAATCCCTTCAGTCGTATTGTCGTTCACATTTTTGCAAAAAAAACATCAGTTTCACTGATATCAGGAGTGTTTTTCCGTATTTTAAGGTTATAATCGTGCATGAACATGCGATACAAGCGACGTGCGTCTATGGACTGGCGCTAGTAGGTGGCAATATCGATTCGAAAGCAGACTAAGAAACATTTCCGCAGGAAAATTAAGACTTTGGATGGACGAATTTTTTTTCTGAAATTGGATTCGGAATTGGAAAGAAGTGTGGGCTGTCCACTCTTCCCAGGGGGTTTCCGGTGGTAGGTCACCACACTGCAGCCACCTGCGGGGTTAGGGTGGAACAGGTCACGTGTACACTGCAGGATATCATAGAATTACGAAAAAAAGAGAGGACTTTGAACCGGATGATTCGGGATAATCGGTGGATTATGTGAGAACAGGTGACATTTGAAGGCATGGTAAAGAAGCCCTTTAGCTTTATTGTACTCGTGTCAAGTGACCTGTGGAATGCTTGGCGAGGAAATGGTGGCGTTAAGTAATATGGATTTGTTATGTTAATTGCTCTAGCGTGTCTCTGCTGCACTTTGCATAGAAAAGTTAAATTATAATAATTCGAGTGGTGAGGGAAAATCTGTTGAATCAATGAATCAGAACTGATTTGAATCGCTGTAGTCTGAACGTGGGGTGGTACATTTTTCGTATAGGTATACCTACCTATAGGAAACATTTATTATATGTAGTACAGTACCGCACAATAAATTTGGTCTCCCATTCCATTCCATTGTTCTATCACTTTAAAAAATTAGAAGCATTATTGTCAATATAATTAACGTGCAGTTTTTTTATTGTCATAATCATAATCAGGCATCAAACAATCAGTTATAATACAACGAGTAGTCAAAAATTGTCGAAAATTTTTATGAATGCTCATCGCCTTATGAACACCATCAGTGTGTAGCACAAATGATGTTCGCAAGCGTAATGACCATGAATAAAAATATTCTACAATCTTTTACTACGAATTGTATTTAACATACTATTCAATAAACCAAATGGCAAATTTACGTTACACAATACACATGATTTTATTTTCATAGCAAATAATAAGTTTACTGCGACCTTTCGTGGAATATCCAGTTATAGGTATACAGGCTGCGCCAGAACTCGCGCCCCAGAGAAAATTTTCAAGTAAGGTAAAATACCAGGAACATGAAAAAAATGTTTAAAAAATTCTGTCAAAAAAATTTGACATATATTTTTTGACATTTGACATTTTTTTATATCTATTTAATGATACTGATGATCTTGTATACGTTTTTTTACAATTATTTAGTAAAGAGACAAAAATTTTGCCAATAAAAGCCACAAATAACTTATTACAATTTGGCTACCTTGTTTCCTCTTTTAATAGCCTCTAGCAAAAAAACTTGTAAAATATTTTTCCAACAGAAATAAATAGAGTCAAAGTGCAAACTTTAAACCCTCATAACTTCGAAATTTTTATAGATATTTTTTTTTAACATTTTTTCCATGTTCCTGGCATCTTACCTTATATACCATTTTTCTCTGGGGCGCGAGTTCTGGCGCACTCTGTATAGGAAAAACATTTTTTGCTTCACCTGAAACAAGCAAACTTCATTATTCTGATTCAGTGAAAAGAAAAGTTAATTTTTCTCTTGATTTTCGACTTCGAATAATTTTTCTTTGTTTTTTAAGTCCTAACACATTGGCGGTTTTATTTATTTGACAACTATATGTCACTTTGACAATTAATTTATTAATTAAATAATAATAGTTCTTATTAAAAGTGACTTTGGTTTTTATCTTAATGTTGTTTCTTTGAGTTCCTATTTATTAATATTATTTTTTTCACAAACATTTTTATTATTTAACTTGCATAAACTCATTTGTCAAAGTGACATCATTGTCAAAATAATAAAACCGCCAATGTGATAGGACTTAAAAAAACGAGATTTGCTCGTTTCAGGTAATGCAAAAATTATTTTCCTTTGCAGTTTTGCGTAAATCAAAGATAATTTTTTTTCCTCTTGTAAACTCAATCCGAGAACATACTGTAGATAAAAATTATATTATACCTAGAATTTTTTTTAACATTTTTTCCATGTTTCTGGTATCTTACCTCACATGGCATTTTTCTCTGGGGTGCGATTTTTGGCGCATTCTGTAGTCTGCTTTAGAGACGTTCACTTAGATTTCTGATCATACCTACTAATCAAAACTATCTGTGAATTTGGAATTAAATTTTAAAACATCAGTTATTATATTTTCTGTTTCTATGTTTTTTGATACTGTCAACTTAGTTTTAAAATCCCAGGCCGCATATTGGTGAAATCGTTTCTCTTTAATTTTTAGTGTTCTCAAAGTTCTTTAAAATTTACGTAGCTTAAAACAGTGTTAAGGTTACAGTTGCTAGCTTCAACCTTTCTTATTTTGTAGTTTTTTATAGTTGTGTGTTTGAGTTAATACTTTTCCTATTTTTTTATGAATTTAACGCAGACATAACGAATGACCAAGTATGTACATATTTACACATTGTTAAGACATTTAGGAAGCCAATAAACCGATTTGCATAACCGTTGAGTTTTAATTTATTTTCAAGTGGTTGTAAGAGCAACTGTAGTAGGGGTTCTTTGTTTACATAACGTTATCGTATTACAAATAGCAATTAAGTCCTAAGATATTCAACTCATTGTTATGTTACAAATATACAGGGTGTCAATTTTAAAACTTGCAATCGGCAATATCTCTAGAACTAAAAAAGTTATTGAGTATCACTCAAAACCGTTTCGGTGGTTTTTAGGGGGAATCAAAATGGCATGGTAGGTGACGCTCCTCCACCCATCCTTCAAGCCACAGCCACGACTGTACTTGTGATATATCGTTGGAAAGCCCATAAGAAGCGCTTTTAAAAAATGTCATACAACAGCCTATTTAGTAAAGTCATTTTTCCAATTTTTCAAAAGCGAAGACGTTAAATTTTCATTTTTTTTATTATATTCAAGGGTGGGTGGAGGTGTATCATGTCATTTAATTCCCTCTAGGAACCACCAAAACGGTTTTGAGTGCTTATTAATAACTTTTTCAGTTGAGAGAAATTGCCGATTGCAAGTTTTAAAATTGACACAGTGTATACTACTTACACTACGAGTATGTTTGTAATTACAAACATAGCTTAACACTGCGATGCGCATCATTACTGGTACAATAAAATCTACACCAACAGATTGGTTGCCCGTCCTTTCTCATATTTCACCACATGCACTTAGAAGAAAAGAACAACTGAAAAAGCTATGGGTGAAATACAAAACAGAACTATTATTCCCTGAAAATAGACTGAAATCTAGAAGACCTTTTTGGACGGAAATACCACATATTGAAACTTTTAACATCAAAGATGAATGGCGCAGGCAGTGGTCCAATCTGGTAGAAGATCCAACTCTTGCAGTATCCGGAATGGATCAACCTAGATGGGTTTGGACGAAATTAAACAGAATAAGAACCGGTCATGCGCGATGTCGATCTATGTTGTTCAAATGGAACGCTGTTGAAAATCCAATTTGTCAGTGTAAAGAAGCAGCAGAAACCGTAGAACACATAGTTGAAGAATGCCGATTGACTAAATTAGAAGGCGGCTTTACAAGAATCCACTTGTTATCGAACAGTGTAATTCAGTGGTTAAGCAAAATTAACAGTTTATAAAGATGGTTGTGAGTTTTGCAGCTGGGTAATTATACTGTACTAGTGCAAATTGAGTATCATTTATCAGTTGTACTAAGTACAATAGTGTATTACTTACCATTACTTACCATTATTACTTACTTAATTACTTACCAGAGAAACCTCAAAACTACAAGCATCAAAAGTAAAGTTGAATGTTTAACTCTGGCATCAAAAACGCTTTGGAAGATACGATGACAGATTTAGATTCATTGTAAAAAGTGCCTCAAGAACGTCCTAGTTAAAAACGTCTAGTTCTTTGGTTTTCGCTTGAAAAAATAAAAACGAAAATTACAAACTCCCGTTTTTTTGCTAATAATTCAAAAGTAAAAATAACACATCAAATTTTCTTCCAGATAATTGTTCAGCATCAAAATGTGCAACTTTGCCCTAATAATTTATCCGACCTCGTATCTCGTATAATAACTGAGATCCCTATGGTGGATCTCGAAAAACGAGCACTCTCTATAGAACGTTTTATGTGTCTTTTTTGAAGAGCAGTGTCGCATGCATTATTCTGCATTTGTTAGTGTTTAATTACTTTAATTAAGTAGATAGATGAACAAGTTTTTTGATTAAACAAATTTTATTTTTATCATTATCAACTTTTAATATTCAATCCTAAACTTTTAACTAGATCCGTATTATTTCGTATTTCGCTTCATTTAATCCAACTTGTTATCCACCTCTATCGAGAAAAGCAATCTGTAGGCTACTGTAGGGAAGCTTTTAAGATGATACGTTTATAAAGGATACAGTAAAAGTTAATAACCCGAACTTTGTTGTTTGATCTTTAATACCTTACATAATTTAAGAGGAAACAAAGCAAAGCAAATAAAACCTGAATCCAAGTTTTCTTAGGTATAAGTACCTAGGTAATATAACAGTTTGCTAGTTTTATGTTTAAATATCACAACACAAAATTACCTACCATACCACAAAAATATAGGTAAATAACTTTTAGTGTTTAAACAAAAAATGTAATAATTATTGTTGTTTTCACAAAATTTCTCATTTAAATAAATTAACAAATAAATGGATATGCAACAAATCAGAAAATGGCTCATTACTTTCGTACACAGAGTGATATTTCCTATTGAGTTGGCATGCGTTTTTATTTTTTACAAACTGATGAAAGTTAAAGTTAATCAGCAAGGCAAGAAATAATTAATAAGATTTCACTAGGTAGACACTAGTTGTGAAAAATTTATTTTTTCATAATTAGTTACACAATTACAAAATATCAAAAATTATAATTAAATTTAGATTTGTTAATCTACTAACAAATAAAAATATGAAGAATCATTTTTGCAGTTTCGTAGAGACCTACCTCGAATGCGCCACCTGTACTCAGAACGTTGACTCTTTTAAAAGTTAATTGATCAT